AGCAGGATACACAACTAATTTTCCTTAAATGCAAGTGCCAGACAATTTCGCTTTATGAGGTGAATTAAACAACAACAACAACATAACTGTTACATATATGTATATTAAAAAAGAGTTGAATACAGTATTATAAAAATATAGTATTATATACTTGTATTATATTATATAGTATTATAAAAATACTTATTTAATTTAAACAGTTTGAAGCAGCCCAATTATCCTTATATTTTTCGCAATAATTTCCAATTAAGTACTAAGCTGGTTGCTAAAAAATGATACCAATAATCAAACAATATCTTGCAGTAACATCACAGCTTCACGCTTAATAAATATATTAAATTTTCTATTTCAAACCTTATATGGTTTAACTTAGCTTATAGGGTTTAACTCAACGGCGTCTTATAAGGAATTTTAAAATACAAAAATTAACATTAACAACCAATTCCATATTTTTTGCAGCAATGCGAAAAGGTATCAAATGATTTCTTAACAAGGAAGCTCCATCATTCGTATACCTTGTACGTAATATTCTCACTCTTTGTAAGTCCCTCTCTCTGCCGGCCTGTCTGTTTGTCCATATGAACAATGTGAACTTTTAAACCAGAAATAAACTACAAGCTTGGTGTGCAGACTTGCTGTATCCATACGCAGAGCAAGTTTACTACAAACGGTCAGGGGGGAAATTAATATTAGTATGTACTAACCGTGTTTCTGTGTTTTTCGATATCATCACGAAATTGTATATTTTTGAATTTTTACCTATACCCTGAAAGATACAAGGTACATTAGGTTTTTGTAAAGTGCAAAAAGGTAACAGGCAGAAGGAAGCATTTTCGACCGCATGTTCTTGATATGCTAATGCTTAGCAACCGATTCGATTGAGCTTTGTATGCCTGGCTAGCTTTGTATGCCGTCCGTCCGTCAATTTGAACTAGATCTCAAAGACTATAATAGGTATGCACGACACAGGCAAAGAAATAATTTAACAGCCTTTTAATGTAGAGAAAAATACAATGATTCATTTATCAGTCGTATTGAACCGGAAATGGACAAAAGTTTGTAATATAAGTAGTTGAAAATAAATAGTTAGTTATATGATTAATATATATTTTCACCAATTCAACTTTAAGTTGTTCTGAATTTTCTATTCGATTTTAATGGAAGATAAGCGTAATATTTGATTACACATTTAATATTTTTATACCCTTTACCCATAGGGTAAAAAGGGTATATTAGGTTTGTGCAAAGTATGTAACATACAGAAGGAAGCATCTCCGACCCCATAACGTATATATATTCTTGATCAGCATGACGAGAGAAATCGAGCTAGACATGTCCGTCCGTCTGTCCGTCCGTCTGGATGAACGCGAGGATCTCAGAAACTATAAAAGCTAGAATAACCAAAGTTGGCATCCAGATTCTACTAGGTCCGAGTAAGGACGAGTTTATGTTTTTTTTTTTATCTTCCCCCCCTTCCCCCGCTACAGAATTTCGTCAATAGCGTCCACATTTCAAATGCTACCTAAACCAAACTTTGCACACATAATTAATATATAATTGTCTACTGTTGTATAAATTTTATACAACATAAGACATATAAAATTTTATTCAATTCGGTCAATTCTAAGAAAAGTTATTAGCAAAACAAATTCTCGCCAGTACAACCCCTCCAAACTGCATCAACAAGTTCGCTCTTCTTCTTCCTCTTTTTGCTGCTGCTATGGGCGCATATAACTCAGTGATGGAAGTTTACCTGGGTACAGGGTATTACACTGTCGGGCTTGCTCGACTGTAGCGTTCTCTCTTGTTCTTCTTCAAATTAAACATAAATGTAATAGTTTTCATACAAAGACGCTTCAAATATTTTATTAAATAAAATATGTGGCTAATTGTTAATCAAACTAAAATTTCAAGCAGATTATAAATTGACCAATAATTGATTTCATTTTTTTTTATTCTTAAGCATTATTTGATTACACAGTTAATATTTTTCTTAGTCAAATTAAACATCAAATTAATAGTTTCCATACAAAGACGCTTCAAATATTTTATTAAATAAAATATTAAGCAAACTAAAATTTCAAGCAGATTATAAATTTACAAATAGTTGATTTCATTTTTTTTATTTTTAAGCATATATTTGATTACACATTTAATATTTTTCTTCTTCAAATTAAACATAAATTTAATAGTTTTCATACAAAGACGCTTCAAATATTTTATTAAATAAAATATGTGGCTAATTGATAAGCAAACTAAAATTTGAAGCAGATTATAAATTTACCAATAGTTGATTCAATTTTTTATATTCTTTAATACTTAGGAGGGTCATTGAACACTTTGTGGTCCGCCATTTAAAAAGGAAGTCCATGGACAATGTTTGCACAGATTCATGTCCATTGAATTTTTTTATTATTATTTTACTTTTAGAAACCCACACTCTTTTGATCTTTGCAGCGTTATAATTTTGCTTACATCATTACCATGGGGTGTCGCGCTAATCACAACGCATGTGGAAAATGTTAAACCGCCTACGTTCTTGAAATGTAAATGAAAATCACTGAGCCGGTCGGTTGGCAATGCTAACATTTTCATTTGGCTGCTCCCAAGTGGGGACTGGTAGCAAGCGCCCGAGTGGGGCAAGAAGCGGCAGAGGAGAGCAAGTTGTTAAGCAGCCAAAAGTTTTTAGTGACTAGGCACGGCAGAGAGTCTGACAGCTCTTTAAATCATATATTGTGCCCACAGGAATGCATTAGTATGCAAAACACGAAGCAATGGCTGTCGAGGCACCCGCCACGTCCTTTCCTGCCTGACAGCGCCGGCCAAGTCAACATAATGAATTATGCCACGCCCAACAAGTGCACAGAAGCAGCAGCAGCAGCTGGAGCAGGAGCAGGAGCAGTTCGAGGTTGCTTGATAGTCCGCATGACTGTGAAGTGAAGCTATCATTAGGAACGCCTATCGTACTCGTACACAAGGCATAAGAAATCCAATAAAAATTCAATAAATTCCGCACAGCAACATTGCGTATGTTGGCGCTGATGAAATGATGGGTGCGTTGGGTTAAATGTGTGGCCAGCGCGTCGAGACATAAATGATGGAGGCAGACGAAGTGGGACGCAAGCGGACAGAAGCCGAGAGGGGGACGACGCCATCACACGTTTCTACATTTCCACAGTCGGGCAAAGGGAAATAAATATAATTTATTTTTCAATTTCTTCCTTAGCGGCGCCTATAAATACGAGGGCAGTCCGAAATTTTAACCAAATTTTGGTATTGAGGTAAGGCATTTTTAATGCGTTTCCGCCAGAATTTCAGGCAGGACGGCGAATACTTTTTGAAGTGGTTGAAAAGGTGAGGACATAAGTGTGTTCAGTTAGAAGGAAACTACTACTATATTTTGAAAAATAATAATAAAAACATATTTTAAAACTGCCCTCGTACGAAATGCCAAAGCCAAACAGATATACTACTCATACGAGTATAGAAAGAACTTCGGCAAAGCCAAACACAAATGTAGTAAAAACAAATGTAGTAAAAAGTTGGGAAAATTATAAAAATAAAGAACTCCGAATATATTACAAACAGTCACGTAAAATAGCAAACAAATTATGTGCCCGTATTATCAAAAAGAAACCCATTTAAATGCTTAACACCTTTCGTTTTTGAACGGTTTACAAAAAATTAACAAAATAGCGCTGGCACGAAGTGTGCTCCCGATATTCTACAATATATATTTTTTCACTTTCATTAATATTTGTACACTCACGTATGATGTACAGTCTATTTTTAAACCAAATATTACTTTTAGTTCTTAGTAGTCTTGTTGTAGAACACGGAGCAATTTTTGTTTGGGTTCTACCTGAGACAAATTCCGGCAATTATAGAAAAAATATTGAATGAAACTTCCATTTCATAATACTTAATTTTCAATATTTAAAAGGATTTAATGTAAGCTTAAGATTATGCATACATAGTTAAGTCCAAAACGAAAATTTAACGAATTTAATGTTTATGATGTCCACCTAATGCAGTTTCCACTGCATGTGTGTGCGCCGGAAGTGAAACACACATAGAAGTACATAGTATGGCAGAAAGTAAAATTTCATAAAACTGAATGTGCGGGTGTGTGTGTGTAGGTATATATAAGTAGTAAAACATATAACTCCTGGCGGGATCAACCAGAATAATGTTATTCATATTGTTTAAAAATAAATAAAATATAAGATTGACAATTTTAATAATATATTTTTGAATGAAAATATATATAGATTTTCCAAAATATATCCACGAATATGGCCATGCGCGTTCTCCATTTATTTAAGGATTCTATTTTTAGCAAATATTTAATATATCTACTTAGCTGTAACTTATCCTATGTACATGTTCACAAATTTTCTTTAATATTTTCACATTCTGAAAAATATATGCATGTTATAAGTACTATATATTGTGATGTTTCTAAAAATTTATTTAGTGAGAGCATGAATGTCTGCACGTGCGTGTGTTGGGGACAGAGTCATTAATTGACGTCAAAAAGCGAGCTAATATGAGAAGTAGGTGGTGGAGCGAGAAAGGCAGCGAGAGCGCTATTGGAAAGTAGTGGAAAAGAGGCAGATAGCAGCAGCCAGGACACTGGCAGGACACATCTTTGACTGCGTCTCATGTCAACACAGTCATCAACTGTCTGTCCGTTTCAAATTGCTGCGACCTTTTTATATGCTCCCAGGCAAATTATGCCTATTTGATCAGGCAAAAGGATAAGCAAAACGACAACGCAGAAGGCGAAAAAAAAGAAGATAAGCAAAGAGTGAAGGAAAAGGAAAAAGCGCCTACGTTGCTTCAGCCTCAGCTTCAGCTAAACGAAATGAAAGAAAACGACCAAAGCAAATCTTTGCAATAAGGCGACTTGCTTTTCACAATGACACTTTATGTTGGACGATGCAGGACAAAATGGTGGCGGATGGTCGAGGGGCAACGAAGACTAAGGACATACTAACCTAAAGTCGTATGCTGGCGGGGTCAGCAGTTGGCAGTTGGCTGTTACGCCTTTTCAGCAGACAACTTCCCTGTAGTTGTTGTTCTTGTTGTTGTTCCTCTTCTTGTTGCTGTAGCCGCTGCGTTAGGTTAGTTGCGCTGCTATTTGATTTGGCTGCCGTTTTGTTGCTGTTGTTTCGGTTTGTTTGTTGGTTGATTGTTTGGCTGGTGTTGGTTTCTATGTAAATTTTTATGGGAACGCGCAAAAGCAAAAAGTATGCAGGGCGCAAATAAAATTAATGCGAAATTGCTGATGAAGTCGCGTGATAGTTGTTGTTGCTTGTGGATACTTGCGGGATTGCTGTTGGTAGTTGGTGTAGTAGTTGTTGTTGTTGATAGTGGTATTTTAGCTCTTTTTGATTTTGTTGTTGTGGCTTAAATTATGCGCAGCATTTCGTTTGCGTTTTTTGTGCTGTTGGATCGTTGTTGTTGTTTTTTTTTTTTAATTATTTGACAGACATTTCATGAAATTGCAAAAACGAGATATGAGAAAAGCAGTTAATTTAAAATGTACTTTTTGCTATTTACATGCATGAGTGTTTTATTGCATTGATCACTAAAATTCACATTTAATTCAATCGGTTCGCGACTATTTCACGATTTCACACCTTGGAATTTTTAAAATTCTTGATATTTAATGCGTATTTAATGGACGTAGAGGCTTTATTTATTTGAAAAGAACGCAACACACAACTTTCTCCGTGGAAATTTTTATTCCTGCATTACTTTTAATGCGTCTTTGACTGGCTCGAAGGTTTGTTGGTAAGCGAGAAAAGCGTCTGCTTTCGTCACAGGGCAGAGGCAGAGCAACAAAAACGAAAACACTCTAGGATACACAAAAAGGCACACCAAGTTGCGTCCTCTAATGCTCTGTATGTATGTATGTATGTATATGTAAGCGTCTCACAAAAGGTGAAACTTCTTGGCATCTTGTTGCTGCTGTTGCTGCTCTGGCTGTCGACAATCATAAAGACAAAGTCGACGGGGAGTTTGGACTTAAAAAGGGAACGAAAAATAACGAACATCGAACGAACATCAAATAAATAGGCGCGTATGCACGGAAAATGCGTATAAAAATACATTTAGTAGTAAATTAAATGATTTGCACACTAACCCCAAAACATAAAGCCCAACACTCACTCGCATTCGCAGTCGCACTCGCACACTCACTAACACGTTTGGCCAACACGCGCGCAAAACTAACGAAGCGGCGCGACAGGACACGGCAGCATAAAAAGCAGCAGCAGCAGCAGTAGCACCAGAAGCGGGCATAAATAGTAGTACGAGCTTTACTAGTACATAGCTTGATTTCTGCCTATTTTCGTGCACAGTGTACGTGTGCGTATGTGTGTGTGTGTGTGTGTGTGTGTGTGTGTAGACATGGACGTCTATTAATGCTGCCTCCGTGGCTTATGCGCGCAAAAACCGACAGATACACGAGCATTTAACACCTAAAATGTTAAAAGGGAGCAGCAGCCTCTGCATAAAAAGTAGTAGAAAAAGTAGTAAAATGTACATGTGTGTGTGTGTTTATGTATGTATTTGCAGCAGCAGCAGCCAAACAGCACTGCCGCCGCCAGCCTTTCACCGTCGTCTATTTAAGTTGCAAGCATTTTTTCATTCATATTTTAGAATTTTTATATTTTTTATTTCACATATGCATGTACACACTTCTTAGGTTGTGCTAACCGAATACACAAAAAGATTATTATTAAATTTGCGCAAAATGAGGGTGGTACTAGATAACTTTTTTCCTGCTTTTTGCTTTACTTGTATTTGTGTGTGTATGTTGATTAGTACTGCTTTACCGCACTTCGTTGCTTTCCGCGGCTCGATGTGGCGCACACGCGTATATCCTCTCAACTGAAGCAAGGATAGGAAAGACGACGACGCAAAAGCTTGTGCGTGAGAGCAACAATTAAATGTTGGTGAGAGATAAGCCCGCTAACATGCGCTCTCACAAACGACCGTTATGTTGTGTGGCGGCGCTAGTGGGCTATTGCGCAACTGTTGAGCAAATGCAACAAAAAGTTTATGTAAAATTTGAATATAGTGTTGGCAAGTGGCAAGAGATTGTTAACTTCGATCTAACGGCGATCATTTACTATCATAAAAAATAAATAATCGTTTATCTTTTTTAATATGGATTTAATTCCTTAAATTAAAATTTACATGTATCGCTTTTACATAAAATTCATTACTATGGAGCTCTTGCTGCAACCAATCCATGTCTTTACAATCAGCAAGTATACATATGTACGTATGGGTATAAAAATAATTAGTTACATACATTTATCTTACAACTCACGTCCAATCTGAATAGCAATGCCAACAACAGTAATTCGCTGCCTCCCTCAAAACGTTGCATGCGTCCGTATAAAGTACACATCGTATTCCTTCTCAATCCATTTGATCAGCTTATCTACATATTTGATAACCGTAGCCTTGTCCACGATGGGCTCAAACACCGCGTATAATTCGTAGGTGGCTGTTACCCAGGCCAGCACTATTTCGCGCTCCCTTACCTCGTAGATTAACTTTAATGGTCGTGCATTATTGTGTATACGGTGTAAGATGTTACAATAGACGGCCTCTAGACGTTCGAATTCTTCTAAAGATTTATACGGATGCCTAAGCATTGGGCACAATAATTGAGCCGTCGTCTTCGGCTTATACAAAAAATGTCGAAGCTCGGGAACGCTAAGCACCTGTTCGTAAAGCTTGGCATCATTGTAGGGTTGCTGCAGCCCTTCGTTAATGGCATCGAGGCAATGATTTTTGCGCAATTTTTCCGTTATACGCGCCTTGGCCTCCGATAATGTAAAAAAGGCATTGCGGTCGACTGAGAGCAGCAAAAGGCAAGCCTGACAATCTTCGGCCAAATATGAAACATGCGCATGCAAATATCCATTCTTATCAAAAATAGGCAAACAAATGGGTGTCCAATTCTCGTAGGTCTTAAAGGACTGAGAACATTCGATGAGGTTGAAAATAAGACGCAAGTCAGCCGGATGTATAGAGTATTTTTTCATGCGCACCAGAGCAATAAGTTGATTGTTGGCTATGAGCACGGCAAACACGAGATCTTTAATCTTTGAGCAATTTGCTTGTATAGCGCTGATGATATTTGACCGCGTCGAAGTTGCCAATGGAAAAACTCGTATAGAGTTGGTGAGGAAATCGAATACGTTATTGGAGACTGAAAGAATATGACATTCCTCAAAACTGAGACCCATTTTTTACTGATCAGATAACTCACCACGTTTACTGCTGCTGTCATTTGATAAGAGATTGTATATCAACCGTTCACTCCCAGACAATAAACGGCGAAGATCAAAATTCTTGCGCTTCTCAAAAATTTTTGACATATGCGAGTACGTGAGTGTGGATAATATTTGATTGTAGACATCGCTAAATGGAAAATCAGATAGGGTTCAAGCAAACTATGGAAGTTATTATTAAAATCAACTTACCTCAACTGCCGTTGTAACTGCTGGACACTCATGTTGGTGCGCGAGGCTGCCACAAGAATTAACGAGTTTCGCTGTATGAACACAAATTTAATGCCGCGTGCGTGTATTGAGGTGATGGCATCCTGCTGGCTATGTTGCACAAAGCTAACCAAGGCCTGTATGACGCCAAAAAGCGTGACAAGTTTGTCTTCACTGCCGTGGAGGGAGTAAATGGGCTTGCCCGCCTCGCTTAATATGAATATATGCTTCTTCTGGCCACACCACGCGCTGTCATTCTGATAGTCGTGGTCTGGCTCGTCGTCTACTGTATTGCCGCTATCCTCGGTTTTGACACTGGCCGACGCGCTCAAGGCAAGAGACTCTACCGAAGCAGCCAAATCCTTAGATTGTCCGGACTCTGCTCCCGGATCCGGGCTAAGCGCGTTTCCAGTACGCGTGCCCAGCTCACCGCGCAGTTCCGAGATAATACTATGTCTTTGTGCCTCAGCTTCTCGCTCTTGCTCCTGGTAGTAATCGTCTTGCTCATCGACACCATCGGCAACACCTTCATCTGGATCAGACTCACCCTCGGCATCCAGATATTCTGAAGTCGAATTCGTATCAGATGTGGCGACATTTGTGGGCGTTTGCTCAATTTCCATGATTCTAAGCGCTTTTTTATGGTCTAAACATTGCAAAAATAAACAGCGCTCCGTAGTTTTCGCTCAGCTGTGACGCATCGTTGCTCAACACTCAACTTAAACAGCTGGTCGCAATAAACTATCGACCAATCGGCCTTTCTATTGCGATTATGAAAACACCGTGAAGCACGCGAGAAAATGCTGCGAAAGTCGTTTAATTGTAAGTAAACAATCAAAATATTACTGAAAAACTAATAATATACATTTCTCTCTTAGTGTCGCGCTTTGGTCAACTGTGTGGCCTGCGTCGGCTCCAGAACACACAAGCTGCGCCCGCGGTGACACCCGAATCAGAGGCAGAGGATATTTCGGTGATTGAGCAGCGTATTTTAAAGCACCCGGACTACTTTCAGGTGCACAACCTGTTTACGGTGCGTGATCTCTTCAATGCCCGCGTCCACTATGGTCACAAGGAAGGCTCGCTAGACGATCGCATGAGGCCCTATATATACGGGAACCGACTAGGACATCTTATTTTCGACTTGGACAAGACCGCCTCACATTTGCGTGATGCTCTTAACATTGTTGCCCACATTGCCTTTCGTGATGGCATTATATTGTTCTTCAATCGCAATGCCTTGAACGCACATATGGTGGAGCAAAAGGCGCGGGAGGCTGGAGAATTCTCACATACACGCTTCTGGCGCGGCGGCATCTTCACTAATGCAAATGTACAATTCGGAGCTGTAACTCGTCTTCCGGATCTCTGCATCTTTTTAAACACCCAAAATAATGTCCTGACACAACACACGGCAGTTCGCGATGCAGCTAAGATGGCAATACCCACAGTTGGCATTGTGGACAGCAACTGTAATCCTAACCTAATCACTTATCCAGTGCCCGGCAACGATGATTCACCCGCTGCTGTCGAACTGTACTGCAATCTGTTCAAGGAGGCCATTTTGCGTGGCAAATGCAAGCGACGAGAACTGCTCGGACTGCCACGCCTAGATGAGGAAGCACTAAAAAGCAAGGTGCATGGCAAGCGGACGAAGTAGTATAAGAGTGTCCTGTATTCGATTACGAATGCTTAATGTGTTTTGTTTTATTTTTCAAATACGATATCATGATATCTCTTAAAATATTGACAGTTAGTAATTTTAAATGAGAAGCATTTATCCTAAGGCTGCAGTAACGTGCCGCTCTTTACAAAATGCGAACTGTAGCCTGTGTAGATGGGGGGTGGGCGCGACGGCTGTCCGAAAGTTTGGCTAGTGGCGTCCTGGTTAAAGTATCCACCAGCCGCCCCTGATGATTGGCAATGACCTGAGGGCAAAGGTGCTGCATTTGGTTCCATACCAGCACCCTTAATTGCACGACCAGTGCCAATATACTGTTTGACAGGAACACCACGACGAAATGAATTTGACTCATCTCCAACTCCACCAGACTTTTTGTTCCAGGCCGTGGCGGGTGGAGAGCGCACGTAGACCTGGCCCTGGGATTTATTTGTCGAGGAGCTAGTTTGGTTTTCTTGCGGAACCCAGCGTTCGGCATGTTTAATCGTCAGCATCGCCTTATGAGCTCCAATATACTCTTCGGCCTTTTGTAAGCGCTCCAGCTGCTTTTCATCAAGTTGGTCGCGCGGCAACTTTCCCAGACGTTGAACAGTACGCTTCCAGTTGTGGAACTCACGGTTCTTGAAGGGTTTCATTGCCTGGCGGTACTCCTTCCATTGACGCTGGCGGTCCTCTTTGGTGCCAGGCTCGGATTGGTTCAACGGCAGAGGAGCTTCGGGTTTCAGTACCCACTTACCTTTGATTTGCATAAAGGTACCCCCACTTTTCTTCACCTTCTTTGACGGCTGGCTACCATTTTCCTGTAGCCCGGGTGAATTACTGTTTGTGCCATTGTCATTAGGCGGTGGAGGGGGCGGCGGCATCAAAGCTGCGTCCTTCACTGCCTTAGTCGTTGCTGACTTCTTGTTATTACTGGGATGCTGTTTTTTGTATTGTTGGTTGCGAGGCTGGGGTTTCTTATCTTTGGGTACAAGATTCCAAAGGCTTGGACATTTGGGCATCGGCGGCTGTATCGGCGGGGGCCGATGCTGTGGTGACATCATGTCCTCCCAAAAGGGTGGAGGCTGTAATGGTCTGTTCATGTGTCTTGGACCGGGTCCCATTCCCATATTACGTGGTGGTGGCATTGAAGGTGGCGGCAGGGGCGGTCCACATGGACCTGGCCCATAGTTTCTGAAATTCAGTGACATCAATGGTAAAGGTAAGGGTGGTGGTCGACACATTGGAGGAATCCCTATTCTGCTCTGGTTTCTTGGGCCACCGCCTGGACATTGTTGTGGATGCTGTTGGAATTTTTTAGAATTAAAATTTTGTTGTGGTTTGCGACCATTACGTGGTTCAGAGCCACCCTGTGGTGCCTCGGACTCCTCTTTGCTCTTCTTCCAATCCGCAAAGGACATTTTCAGCGGCTTTACTGGTGTCGCTTCTTGACCGCCACTTTCAGCAGTCGTTGCATTAGCGGGAGCACCGGCCGCCGCCGCATTTTCAGACATGACTCTCGCAGTTTTTCTGTATTTCCAAATTCACAACAACTTGATATACTGCTATAAAAATATTAGGTATGTGCAAAAATAGAACTCATTAGAGGTGGGGCGTAATTTTATATTTTACAATGCAGTCACGATAGTGAAACGAATTTTATTCACGTCTGCAAAAATTTACGAATAAATGTTGATACATTTACAAATATAATGCTTGTCTTTATATTTCATACTTGTGTCAAATTATTTATTGCTTCGGTATTAAATTTCTAAATTGAACAATAATGAAGATATTGCGAAAACGTGGTGGCCAATCTCTACTTTAAATTGTAGTTTTGGATTTTAAAGCCATTAAAAAGTTTAATAATGTTTAGTATTTGGCCATGTAAGGAAAAACATATTTTTTTTTTATTAATTTAAATGTCTATAGTATCAGTTTTAATTAGCAGTCCCGCATAAACTTCATTTAAAATGAATGTTTTTTCTGTGACTATGATTTAAGTCAATTATGGCACTATTCACTAGGCATGTAACTTAAAGGCAAAATTATGCTCGATGTCACGTCAAAAAAATGAACTTTCTAAAGAAAAAGACGCTCATATTAGAAGAAGAATTAGGTAGAAAATCAACAGATATTTTTTATTTCAAAAATGCTTAAAAATCAAAAGTGGGTGTCATATAATTTCACATAATGTTAATTATTAAAGTAATCGTAATCCTGACTTTTAGTGATCCTGTATGATTACCTTAATACTAAACTTATTATATATAGTTTTAAAACTAATCAATCCGACGCTTTGCAGTTACGCATTTAAAGCATATTAAGTGGGACATTATATACAAAAAAAAGATCAAATGCTTAGCAATCAAAAATATGTGTACCAATATACACATTTCTCTGGTAAACCACACAAAAACAAGTGAACGTCCAACAAATCGTGAAAAATGTTCGATGTTTCATCGCAAGCAAAAAACATAGGTAAGCATCGATGCATCGTGTCAAAAACATCGTCGATGCTCGATACATACATGCCACTTTGAATTTATATCCCATCGATATATTTTTCACCAAAACAACTTTTTTAAGATCTGTGGCAACTTCTGTAGTTTTCCATTTATCGATAAAACGTATAACATCCGTAGATACTGAGATTTTTTGGTAAGCTTTGGAAGAAACGTCTATAAAAAATTACACACGCCTTTAATGTTGTGTCTAAATAATTCAAAGTTCAGCGTATAGTGATTGTTTCATTAATTTTGCATAACTCGGCTGCAACAACTCGCAAAGTGAATCAAGTCAAGAGGTGCACAACCAACTGCAAGTTTTTCGCTACGAAGTCAACGCGTAGTTTCTTTACGCCCCAATACATATTATTACTTAATTTTTTGTACTGCTTTCAATATCACTTTCCATAATTATTTAAAAAAATGTTTTTGAAGACTAAAATTACGATTATCAAGTGAACGCTGTCAAAAGGGTTCAACGGTTTTAACGGCAAACTAAGTAGCTAAGCGCGCTGCCGCTGCGCTGCCCTCGTCGACACCGCAATGGCAGCCTAGTTAATCATATTTGTTGTTGCTATTCTCGACATATGATTCAATAAGTGGGCAAGATCGCGCTCGCACTGACAGTTTCTTGTAACATTTGTGTTTGTTTGGCTGTAAATGCTATTTAAATCTGTATACACTCACACACAAATACACAGCGCAATGTGCGCGTAGTGTGTTGCATGGAAAGAAAAGTCAAGCCAATGGCAATTAAATTTTGTCGTTAGAGCAACAGTAGCAATAGATATTTTCAATGTGCGTGTGACGAACCTTCTTTTTAATTGAAATCCGCACACACATGCGGACGCGCTCGTGTTGAAATACCGACAGTCAGTTATTTATAACCGTTTTGCATGCGTTTTTGGAACTGTGCGCACTTATTATTAATTGCGCTAAATAGTCTGTTAATAATGATTCACGCAAAAACAATTAAGCTGTCAAAGGGCTAAAAAAGAAGAGAAAGAAAACTCTAAACTCTACTCTGCACTAACAATATCAACAGTATAAGTACATACCTATGTAGATAAATCTTATTTTATCAGCTCAACGTGCTTATCACGGTTGCACATCATTAACGGAATAGATATGCCCGGCGCTGGCAAGTCAAGCACTTGCGGCGCAATTTGAAATACGAAAAAAGCAAGTAACGTGTTTGCCAAGCAACAACAAAAAACACAAGGGAGGCAACGGCATGCAAATACACATGCCATCAAATAAGTGTGTCCCACTTGACTTTTGCCAACGATGTCACCACCACGCATAGGGTTTCGTTGCGCCTGATACCAATACGGTCGACAACTAGGCCAGCAAACATTGTGCTCTGTTTATGAATATTTTATGCAGGGTATTTATTTATAGTTATATTTTCATTTTGTTTGCAGGGGGAGGTGCGGAAACGCTTCTACGATTTCCAAATATTTTCCATTACTCAAAACGAACGAACCAAAAAGAACAAACCCAGCAAGAGAGAACCGGAAAACCTTTAAAGCAACCATTATACTCACACATAAGTTACGCTCTCAACGGTCTCGCCATGGCACACACACATTTGGGTCGAGCTGTCAAAAACATCGAGCCGCCACGACCTCTGAAATCACAGTCTCGCTCGTCATTGAAGAACAGCTATCTGGTTATTGACGATCTGATCCAATTGATAGAGAATGTGGCGCTTGGTCTGCAGTCGTGCAACACCACAGCAGAATCGATAACGCTGCTGTTGCACAATTTGCGAGTTCACGGGCCACAACTTGAAGCGGTGTCCAAAGATACATTGGATCGTGCATTCGTCGTGTTTCGCAATGCTTCACAGGACGAACGTCTGAACATAATGACAAGACTTAAGCTTCTCGAACTGATTGAATTGCGTGCCAAAAGCTGGGAAGATAACGATACGATTGCCTACTACAAAGCCAAGCAGCAGGTATCCAATGTTGAGGTAGGTGAACCTCTTACCAAATTTGAGAAATGTGTGTACATTTTCCTTTCTTACAGCTACCCGCTGAACAATATCAACACGATGCCGGGCCACAAGCTTTTCTTAGCACCTCCCCCACATTTGGTGTCGGCGGCTTGGGCATGGGTACGGGTGCTGCCGCCACTCCTGGCAATGCTGCCTTTGCTGTTGCTTCGGCAGCCGCTGCTGCTCAGGCTGCGGCCATTGCCGCTGTTGGCTCTCCAAATCAGCAGCATATGCTGCTTCCACCAGGTGAAGTCATTCGCAATTCGGGCAAATTTCCAAAACCAACGAAAATTCCTGGCAAAACCTATTGTAAAGATGAGGTGGTCATACGTAATGCAGATTCTGGCAAAGGTAAATAGAGAACATTCTTATAGCTATGTGTTTTAAGTTATATGTGTCAATTTTGTTGGTTATTATATGCCACTGAATAACCTTGATTGGTTGGGAAATCCGAAAACACAAAGTAACTCAGCCTTAATATCTTGAGTTATTTTTGATTTTTCGTTCTAAGATTCAATTACGAAAAGTTGGAATTTAAAACTTACTTAAGTCTCTAATTACTACATTTAATTGGGACATCTGTTTTTACATTTCAAAACCAATTCAAGAACAGGGTTTCCTTGAATTTTTATTGGCCAGTTTAAATATAATAAATAGTGATTTAATTTGTCAATTTAATTTTATTTATCTGTATGTTATCAGGAAAATGAATATTTTTGACATTTCGCAGTTTACAATACCAAGAAAGTCCGCTGTAATTTAAAAACTTGCGCATGCATATCTAATTAATTTTTATCAATTTTATCGCTATCTCGTCTTGTCGTCTATGTCTAGTGATGGGCATAAAGGGTCGCCGTGTGCATATGATTGAGGAACTCAGCGAAACTATAATATCGTTCCAAAGAGGTAACAAGAAATGTTAAAAAAAACTCGTGCACTTTATGTACATACAAACATACATATATCAACTAAAATCATCTGAAATAATCTTGCATAAATCCAAATATTAGCTGATACATTCTAAATATATAAGCAACTGAAAACTAACGGCACTGCACTTAAACATTCGCTTACACTCAAGGGCTCGCATGCTAAGCACGCTAATGCATAAAGAAGTGAATATACACACATAATCATAACTGCATATTCCCTGTTTTTCATCTAAAATATGGCTGTCATTGTTTTAATTGGCTTTTACCTATGATAAAAAAATAACGCATTTGTATTTATTTTGCGCAGTCAGCCCTGGAGCGAAGGAGCGTTTGGTGCAGATTACCGGACCGGCTGAAGATAAAATAAAGTAAGTGATGCCACCCTATAATCTTCACGAATAACTGTTAATTGTCGATATACATACATATATTTCTGCTACTTATTAAAAATATCTTTGTATACCAGTTATGCCAAACAACTAATGGAGGACACGATTCGCCGTAATGCCTCACCGGTTCGCCTGGAGCCAGCACCAGCTGCAGGCGGCTCTTGCTCCTCCCTCAACTCATCGAACTCGGACGATGCCAATGTACAGGTTCGCACGCCCAGTGCTGGTAACAGCAGCCTGGCCAATAGGCTGAGCTTTAACTCGGCGCAAAATTTTATGACTGCCAGCGCGGCGGCCCAGCAAATCTCACAGCATCAGCAGCAGGTGGCCAATATCGCAGTTAATCCGGCAACAGCTGCTGCCGGTAAAGTTTTGCGCTCCAACCATCAGCTTTTAATGCACTCATATTCCACCAACGATGCATCCGTAGGTGAATACAAATTCACGGTCAACGTGGGCCAACATCTGATCAAAATCACTGGGGATTGCTGCGAACTAGTGCGCGTGAGTAAACGATAAATAATACTGAAGAACTGTTTTCTATAAGTTCGGTTTTGCAGGTTGCCAAGCTTGTTTTGGACGATTATTTTAGCAGCTCCGAGTTTCTGGCATCAATGGAAGCGGGCGCTGCTTTCGACGGCAACTCAATGGTCAGTCCCGTAACAACACCGTCCACACCATTACCCGGCGCTGGACAACCACAGTTCGTCGTCGTAGGAGGAAATCCGTTGCGCACCGCGGGCACACCGTTGGCAGATAGTGGCGTTAGTCTTAACTATGTATTTGCTCCGGCTTACAATAATGGCGATGGTGATGATGAAGTTTTTGCTGATGCATCAGCCAATACCTCCAATCAAAATGGTCTAGCACGTTCTCGTCGCAGTCACTTCTCACGAAAGGAGTCCACTCCCGAAAATAAGGCTGCCCGCGAAAAGGTGGACTTGGACGAGAGCGCTGGCAGTACCCTCAAGACAACAGCAAGTAAGTGGGCTGGAAAATTTGCTATTTATAGCTATCTTTAGAACCCAAGAAGCTGCCATTCAAACAGAAATAAGTAACAATAGTAGATAGCATTATTTTTTAGGTTTTATTCCGTAAAGGGTATCTATCTCTTTAAACAGAAATAAGTAACAATAGTAGATAGCCTTATTTTTTAAGTTTTTTTCGGAAAGGGTATCGATCTCTTCAAAGAGAAATAAGTAACAATAGTAAATAGCCTTATTTTTTAAGTATTATTTCGGAAAGGGTATCTATCTCTTTGCAAGCAACGAATAATTTACGGAATTTAAAACAAGATATAAATTATTAAATTAATATATTTTTTAGCTTTCCAAACTAACACATCTTTTGATTATCACTCGACTTGGCTAAATAGTTTTATTTTTAAGTGTTAAACTTTATAGTGGCTATATTTTTTTTTTTAATGTTTTTTCACAGCTCGTTTATCTTACGACATAGAACATTTGATATATTACTCGAAGAGTCCGCATGCCTGGTCTCTACCACTGGAATGGAATAAAATAGTTGATACTGCACCATCGATTATACGCAATAAGGTAATACCAACACTTGAAAAGCACTATCATAACAATGCTTCGTGCGCTGACATCACCCATGCACATAATAATACATCAGCAACATTCAGTAATAATGTCCACAACGCCCAAGGCTATAATGCTAGCAGTATTGTTCCTGTAACTAACAAGCATCAAAAGAACATAACAGTATTTATTGATAATAACAATAAAAACAACGCATGCGAACGAAAAGTTGTTGCACACGAAAATACGCGTGAGGAAGGTGGCCGACGCAGTCACAATCAGAATCGTGAAATTTCGGAGGAAGGGTGGAAGAAAACGCCACCCGTCGAAAAGGATAGAAAACTGTACAATAAACAGTTACAAATCATTTCACATACCATGGAAGAGTCAGCAATCAAAAATAAGCAGCAAGCAAAAGTTATTTTTAAACGGTATTCTGAAAATGATGAACTCGTTATTGTGGCCGACGATGAACAATTAGTTAGCAAGTCAATTGAAATGAATAATAATCGTACTGTCATTTGAAGCGATCAAACAAAATCGATCTAAAAAATCACAAATAAATTCTCTCTCCATATATTTTGAGATATTTCTTTGTGTGCCACATGATCGAAATTACATAAAGGGCAATCATTTTTGAAACATACTTTTTTATAATGCGATTAACTTTAAACGCTACATGCTTCGCCATGCTTTTGATTTACATTTTATATTTCAACTTAACGCCTTCAAAAGCGTTTGTTTTTTTTTTTTGTGCTTACAACCCAAGAATATTCTCAATCACTTAGTATACGTATTTTATAGTTTTAATTAAATAAACGTACTTGCCATTGATTGGCATACATCATACCATAAGCCTTAATGAAACAAAACGAAATTAAGTTAGTATCTGTGTAGAACAGATCAAATTAAAAACCAGCGAAATGCTCAGTATTATATACTTATAAACACATTAAAACGCAACAATTTGCTAGTCCTCGACATAAACAGGTAGTCTTAAACATATTTACATGAAGACATGTAATAAACGAAAGATAAAAATTTGTATCTTTAAAAGAATCTGTATTTTGGCTGTGAAACAGATTTAGTGTTCGGTTAATGTTCTAAGAAGGCGGTTCAACCCAAAAAACACACTTGACACACAATACACGACATTTTTCACATCCACTAAACATAAACATGCACACACAATGTATTTAATATTTAAAAAGACTTTGTAACGCATACAACAAAACATAAGTAAAGTGCTAATGTATTCATAACTTAGCTAGTAAGCGTTTTTTCAAAAATATTCAATTCCATTTCTAAAATAATAAAAAAAAAACATTTTTGACTTGCAAAGTCGCAAAAGCTAGTTGTTTATAACATTGTGTTGGGTCCTAACAAAGTAAGCACTAGAACTATGATAGTATAGCTCAATGAATCCCAAAATTCATACCTAATACTACACTGAATCGTTCTTGAACTTATCTATCTAGTTGTAGTGCAAACACTAATATCGCATTTGTAAAATATATATCCCATTTAAAATATTCACAAGCACGTTTAAAACTCCCACAATTATTAACAAATGTTATTTGTACATCCGAGGTAAGCTTCGCGAACATAAATATTGCAAATGAATCTTCTAAACTCTTCTCAATATTCTTCGTTCGCACAGGATCTACTTGATGAGAGTCAACGCTTCGATGGTGACAAATATATTGCGAGCATAAAGAGCGCTGCCAAACGAAATATTGTGGCTGCCGACGAAACTGAAAACCCGGATGAATAACATGAATGCAAGAAAATTAAATCATCCCAAACAACATCGATTTATAAAAGATATATATAAATCAAAAACATACAAAACAGTTATGTGGCATCCTGATAATAGATGAGATGATATTGCGGTTGTGTACGAAGAAGATTGATACGCTGATCATAGAATTGGAACCAACCCGCACTTTCAAATTTATACTTCAACATATTTTTCATAGCCTTTAGCTCACCTAAATACCTTAGCAGGAATTTTGCAAAAACGACAAAAAAAAATTTAATTAACTAACATTATAGTTAAAAACGAAGGGTTATATATTGAACAAAGTATAACGTAAAATCAACGAAGCCTTTAGTTAAGTTTAAACACGATATTTGAGGAAGCTAAATGAATCAACTAACTGAAATTAATTAACGAAAAGCGGCGTTAACATTAACGGCAAAAGCAATGCATTTTTCAGTAATTCAATACAAAAGAAAACATTTTTATTTTCTCAACATGATCACTTTTTTCAATGTCACCATATAATGCGGGTGTATCTAAAGATCTTTTTTAGTTATGAAAACATTTTCTCATTGAAAATATATTGTATTACTTGATATGTGTTATATTTATTTTGTACTACATTGAAATTATAACTTTGTCATCATTTTTTATTATAATTGTATTTTTCTCTAGTCTATGCAAAATAGAACCCTTTTTCATTACAAATGTTTATCGTAATAATTTCTGAATTTCTGTTCACATTTAATTTATTTATTTAATTTATTTTGTAATGCAAATTGAAATCAATCACGCATTCAATAAAAAGAAATGGTATCTAAATTGCAATTAAGAAAAGTTAACTTCCTTTTGTACTATAAACATATATTAAAGATATTTTAAATATAGACAAATGTTTGTAACATGTAGTTTTTTGGATTAAATGTCTAATAAATCTTCCACCGTCGAAGATCCGTCGGAATTGTTTATAAAAAATTAAAATATCCCACATATTGTTTATGTTCATGATTAGTAGAGAACCACTCGATATAGCCATGTTCGTCTGTATGAACGCAAGATGCTCGAAAATTCTGTGCTACACACTACATAGTTTCTATAAAGTATAAACATTTGTCTGTACGTACGCCTTATGTATATTTATTTAATCACTTTCATTTAATTTAACACACTTAAAAAAGGTTTTTATAATTTATGTTTCTGCGGGAGTTGGTACAGGACCCATTCCAGTTGTAAATTATTTTAGTATGTTTAAAATATGTATTTTCAAAAATGATTTTGAAAATGTCGGACTAGTGCGGCGGATATATTTATGATGGGTAAATCTAAATTGTTATAACAACGCCCAATCAAAAATACTGATTCTCCATGATTCAACAGAAAAATATGTACTGTAGGAGGTCAAAGGTATGGATTTTTGATGATAACATAAAAAATGCTGTATATAAATAAACAAATCTGCAGAGCGAACAGCATTTAATTAATGAAAGCATTTCAGAAATTATGCGCTATCGAAATTATTTCGGGCAATGTCTTATTAGACATTATTTCTATATTAATTTCTGAAAAATTGAAAAAATAAGAAAGAACGCTACAGTCGACAAGACCGACAGTACCCTGTACTCTCCACAAAAACAAAATTATTAAAAAAAAAGCATTAAATTTAAAAAAATATTTTCAATACATATAGAAGTGAAGACATGTTTATGTAAATTTTCAACAGCATACATTTATATCATCGTGTCTATGCGTGTTTATAAGCGTGTATGTATGCAGAACAGGAATAAGTCAAAGCAGCAAAAACAACAGCTGCGGGCAGATCATACAGACGGACATGGCTATATCTACTCGTCTTGATCAAAAATATATATTTTTTGTGGGGTCCGCCACGCCTCCTTGTGTGTGTTACATACATTCGCACAAAACTTGAAATAAAATGCAGGCCTTTTCAGTATGTTAATATAATTTTTAATGTTTTATTTCACATGTACAATATTTTCGCGTCAGCACTGTATATAGACAACACAAAGTTATAACAATAATTCGTAGAGTTTAGGTACATATACATACATATATAATTAGGTACGTGTTCGTATGAAATATTTGTTAGAACCAGTCAAAATACTACTGTGCGAAGCTCAAACGTAATCAAAGCGGCAAAGGAAAGGATTGTGCGATTAGCGGATTAGGATATGCACCATATTTTTACACAACAGTAGAGATAGCAACAACATCACATTGGTTAATTATTTATTAATACGTTTAGTTGCCCAATAGAGGCCGTCGATCCAGTGTTACAGGTTGGCTTGAGCTATTGGTAGGGCGATACGATTTAAAAAAAATGAAATTTATTTAGAAATTTGATATGTACACGAGTAAAATGCGGTGCTACCTTCACACCGAAACAAACATACAAACAACATCAATATCACCATCATCATCACCATCAACTAGAATCAATATTCACGTACATGGAGGTGTGATATGTGGCGCGTTGCACCGGAGTCATGTTCAGGTTGCCCTGGTGTTTGCGATCGTAGGCCCAGATCATGCATGTCGCCGCCAGAGAAACTGCAAATGTTCAGGTTAGGCTGGCAAAGATGGGAGAAGGCAGCAATACTACTTACTAAGCAGAAAACCCATAAAGAATAGCTGAAGCCAGAAGTGGCTACCATCACTGCTATCCACAATTATGCCAGCAACAACGGTGACGACGGCTAAGCCCAGATTTTGTACCGATTGGCAGCTGCATCCAAACCAATGTTAATCAACAGCTTATACAAATAAATATCATTTACTCACAATCCATAAGCCGTACCCAGCTGATATTCAGGTACAATCAAGGATACCAAGGGCCACAGACTAGCCGCAAGCATTGAGTAAGACAGACCCATGATAGCCATAGCAATATATGGATTCCATTCCGTGAAGGTTAACATCAGATGGGATACGAGTGTAGAGACTGTGGCCAGAAATACGCAAGTAACATTACGTCCGTACTTATCAATGACAAAACCAAATAACGGCGAGGCAATGGCTGAGATCAGATAGACCACAGAGTTTACATTGTTAGCCTCCTCTGGCGTCATTAGAAAATGCTTTATGAAGAAGGCCTGCCCCAGCGCTATGAACGGAAATATGGCCACATAGTAGGCAACGCAGACCACAGAGACCATCCAGAAATCCAGCTTAAAAGTGACAACATCGCTGAGCTTGGCAATTTCTCCACCGGGATTGGTATTGCGCTTGAGTATACGTTCCGCACGCTTGTCCATCCAGCCTGCAAGGGAAGCATAAGCAATCATTAACAATCAAAACTTGAACTCTTTAGCTGCTGGCATTTACCCAAAATTAACGTGCAAAGCAAGGACATGACACAGGTGCTGGCCGCCAGGAAAAGCACCACACCTAATGCCGTGTAGCCAGTATAAAACTTTGACACATATCCATACAGAGGCTGCATTACCCAAAAGTTGACCGTGCTTCCAAAACGCGCCACCGAAAGTTGCAGCCCAAATACCATATTTAACTCCTTGCCCTTAAACCACAGCACAGCATAATTGTTTTGAGCCACAGCGAGGGACTCGGCACCAATGCCAAACACAAAGCGTCCTGCAATCATAAGCCAAAACTTTCCAAGCAGACCACCAGCTGCAAAAATTAGCTGACCCAACAGCACTATCAACATATAGATAATAGTGCCCAGGCGTATCCCAAAGACACGATCAATCAGAAAACCACCCACGAAGCACAACACAATGTTTGGCCAAGAATAAATGGAGTAGATAAGTGTAAATTCTGTGGCATTCAAGTCCATCTCCTTCTTAAAGACATCCTGCAAGGCGGCTGGGTTGTCATAACAAAAATAGGAACCTGTCGGTACAAATGGAATTCAGCACACTGAACGTTTTATAATATTTTTTATGACTTACCAAAGCCCAGGAGGCACATAAAAAGCAAGGCCAGGAAACGATGCGGCATGCTTGTAGGATCGCAGCAGCCACCCGCACCAGGGGGTGGGGCCAATTCCGTATCGCGTGTGCTACGCCTACGCACAACAGGTTTCTCATCGCCGCTACTGCTGCTCGAAGAGTCAACAATTGGTGTGCGTTCCTCCCGTGACATTTTCACGACGGTATTGGGGCGGCACAAAATGCAATCAAAATACTTGTCCTTCGCAAGTGCGGTGGGTGCGTGGGTTTAGAAATGTTGGTGGTGTTGGGTGCTGTTCCTCACTTTCCCTAGTGCTGGAATGCCGTTTGTTTTCATACACTGCGCCCCTGAAGGCTGGACCTATTATTGCTTATCACTGGCCCACATCATTTCCGTCTATCAATTGTGGGGGTGCAGTTGTTGCTGCTGTTGCGCTTCTTGTTGTTGTATTTGTTGCTTTTATATTGATTATTCCACTGACTTGCACTGGGGCGCGTGCTATCGACAGGGGTCTGAATGTGCTTGTAGTGACGTTGGGTTAATCTGCAATGGAATTTTAAATGCGGTGAAAATTGAATTACAGAAATTTTCCACGCTTATAAACGCCCACAAATACACACACACAGGCAAGTGAACACCAGCTATGGGTTATTTCAATATGTCACGCTCTGTATCTACCTGCGTATGCATGTTTACCGTTAGTCAACAAGAAACATCTTGTCAACGCCTGGTTGGCAATTGCAAATGGCTCAGGTAATCAATTAATATGACCGGTCTTAGGTGCGCTCATGCATTAAGCCGACTGACAACTGACTTAATATAAGGCTTAGCAGTTATTTGCGTATTGTAGACTAGTAACCCCATAGTATGTACTATATACGTACACACATACGTACGTACATATTGTGTGTATCTATCTACAAAGTGGCACCGAAAATCAAATGATTCTTATCAAAGCCAACTACGCACGTCATATTAATTATTCATCATACATATTTATGTATCTACAATACATATACCACTGTTGAGACCTTTCATTATTTTTGTCAATTTGATTATGCGCGCGCGCCACTTTAAATTTTTAAATCACTGCAAAAAGCGCTGATAAGAAATGGTATACTATGTAAATAACAATAGCTGCCACTTCCCAAAAAAATTGCTTTAGGCACCTCACAGCTACAAATATCGTAGTTAAGGAGCTTACCTGTTTCCCGCACAAGCGGAAAATGCTAACTAATTAAAAATATTGGTTTTCCCGAGAAGGAAAACTAACAGTAGATCTGGGAAATAATCGAAACGCTATCGCATATTTCAGTTTGAAATTATCGGTAGTGTTGTTTTCATAACAACACTAACAACACTTCAAATATTCGCAATACGACCGATAGTTATACACTAGTAAATACTCAGCTCGATTATTTTTCAGTTCTAGTATTTACCAACACTGAATATGTTATCACAACAAAGAAAAGAGGGCTGGTTACACGGAGCTTCTATCCAACCACAGATAATGCATAAATCTTTTAGTTGGGGAACCACAATGATATCATAATAGTCAAATCGATTAGCAGAAGTGTTATAAACTGATGGACATTTTGCACCTGCGCGTATACACATGTTACATAAACTTCTAAAACAGGTGATTTGTTCATTTCGCTCAACAGGCAATGCGGTTTAGAACGTGCAAACACATCCTAAAGTAAATGATGTCGCACGGCGCAAATTTATTCAGAAATACTTTCATGGTTTTTATACAATTTAGCTTAGCTTAGGTGATATAAAACTATATTTTTGTAATGTATACAACTGTAATATAACACAGGAAGTGGCACCCGATACAATATGGCAGCGATAAAGGTCAGTGAAGATAATATTAATACATAAGTATTTAAATGCGTTCTAATTTTGCCTCCTAACGTTCAACATCCACGAACAGAACATAGTCTTGGGCATTTTGCATGGCCTCTGGGACAGCATAAGCGGCATGACACTGGTGCTCCACATAGACAACGAAGTGAATCGTCAGAATGCCGAGCAGGAGACAATGCGACAATTGCGCAGGCTGGACAGGGAACGGTTGGAGCGAGCACGTCGTTCACCGTCGCCCGTCCCCAGCTCAGCGGCGGTATTGATGCGGGAGGAGCATGCAAGACGCAAGGAAGAAAGCTCTGACGAGCGTCGATTGGAGACAATCTATAGAAAGAAAACGCTAGAGGAGCAGGAGGCTAGCTCTAAAACAATAAGGTAAGAGTGAGCGCCAAAAAATTAGCATTCGTGCCAGCATGACTAATTTATATTTTATGTATTTGTTGTTGCGCTTTGTTGTCTTTGTTGCGTGCGCATTTTTATTTTTAGTGAAAAGAAAATTGCCAAAAAATTATTCAAATGCTGTATGCTGAATGGAGGCTTCACTTGGCTTAGCATTGTGCTTTTCGAATCTGTACTGATGCCCACGCTTAAGTTCTTTTTGACGCTCTTCTATGGCGCCCAATCTGATACACTGCCTTTTGTCTGGAGCTGGCTACAGCCCATACTATCGCTCCTCTTTGGCTGTCTGTGGGTGCTGCCGATATTTATGCTCAGCAAGGTGAGTTTATTTGAAATGGAATTTAAGTGCGACAGAGATTTAATTACTAAAATTTGTCTATTCAAGGTGGTCAGTTCGCTGTGGTTCGCCGATATTGCAAATGCAGCTTATCGGGTGCGTAAAGGACGTCCACAACCGATACCGGGCATCAGCAAACTGGTGGCCGATTTCCTCTTTAGCATGGTCGTGCAAATATTGTTTCTCATCCAGAGCATGCTGGTTAACTTGGTGCCTGTGAAGTATGTTGGCTCTTCTTTGTGTTTCGTGCATCTCTGCCTGCTCTATTCGCTGTACTCTTTTGAATACAAGTGGTTCAACATGGGTTGGGAGCTGCACCGTCGCCTAACGTATATTGAGAATAATTGGCCATACTTTTTTGGCTTTGGAATACCATTGACTGTGCTTACGAATTTATCAAGCTCCGTTATCGTTAGCAGCTGCATATTCTCCATATTCTTTCCTCTTTTTATACTCAGTGGCAATGAGGCGAAACCAATTGTGGACACAACGTGAGTATTTACTGGGCTCATGAGCCAGGCCAACTAATAATGTGTTATTGCACTGTGACGCAGTCATATCTCGTTGCGTCTATTCTCGCCGGTTGTTTTCATATCAAACCTGTGCTTTGGCGGCAATCCTTGGAGCAATGCCAATCGTCGCCTAAAGGAAGCGCAGCGTCAGCAGTACGAGCTAATGAAGCGCCAGCGTCAGCATCAGCAGGAGGAGCAATTGCTGAAGCAAAAGAAACAGCAATATCTGCAGCAGCAACGACTACATGACGAACAGATGCGCCGCGAACGCTCCCACTCTCGCTCCAACACGCCACAATTGAGCGCAGGAGCACAACAGCAACAATATCGTTACGCCCAGCCACCCACATTCGATGCTCAACGCGTGCGCGACTCCTCGGCCTCGTCGACGCACAGCTCCACTACACCAAGCAATTACAAGCATACACCTTATTTTGGGGCCAGTATGCGGACGCTGGTGCCCACCCCCGTAGCTGGCGCTCCTCAGGCGCCGCGTAAAACGCCCGTCATACGTCAGGAGTCGGGCCCAGATGACTGGAATTTGTGAGATTTTTACATATACAATTTGTAACCATAAGCTTTGTGTGTTTGTAACTGTATGTTAGAATTTAAATTTAAGGTCTCTATGCATTGTGACAATGTTCGCTAGTCGGGAACGCTGCATTCGCCGCCACGTCCTCTTTGGAGACCGGGCGCTGGCCGACTTGCATAACTAGTAGCTATTTTTGCGTGTAACTGCATAATTGATTCGACTTTTAGGTTATTACAATAATTTTCGGATGTAAAGTTCATTATAAATAAATCAATAAAAGTTTTTGTACCACTTATCAAAAAATCGTTTATAATATAGTCCATTTTTTAAACAACTTATTAATCAAATCATTTATATATACTACTTGTTCACTTTTTATTGCGCTATTTCACAATAATTGTGATCTACGTCGGAACGATAGCAATCAGTTGCCAACCGCTTCGCCAGAAACTAGTAGTAGTATATACATATAAGCTACATAAACATTTTTAAATGATATTGGTTGTAGATGAATGCTATATTTGTATGATCATTGTTGATGAGTTGAATATATGCAGTGAAACCTCTCTTGGCCGGACACTCACCGTCGACCAACTTTTGGGAGTGTCCGGTTAAGAGGATACATAGACAATTTTTCCATTTTTTGCTTATTTTAAAATAAAATAAATTGACTATTCAATAAAAAAATAGGATTTATGTAAATACTATGTACATATAACAAACAAGTATAAAAATGAAGTGCAGTGCTTGGCTACTCTTGCAAATTATTATATAATTAAAATATTTTATCCTTTTGCAACCATTACTCAGCTAAATAACAACACATTTAATTTAATTTGCAATATTTGTACAAGAACTACTATTATTATATATCTTGCAAAACTGAGCATAACTGTTAAATAGCAAATAGCGAAAGTTACGATATTTTATAAACATCTTGTAGTAGATCACATGGTTATACGTAGAAAGAAATAAAAGCAATATGAAAAATACGAAACTATTTTGCACGCATTTGAAACGAAAAGGTACTCATCCGGCCAAGAGAGGTTTTCTTTCAAATTTGATGTGTTTATGCATGTCAGCGTCCGTTAAGACGAGGTTCGCGCCCGGCCAAGAGAGTTCGAATTTCTCGAAAATTAGTGTCCGCGTCCGGTCAAGAGAGTGTCCGCACAAGAGAGGCGAACTTGCTCTAAAAAGTATACTAACACGAATGTTCAAGTAAAAATGTTCGTCTAGGAGGGGTGTCGGGTTAAAAGCTGTGTCCGTTAAGGCAACGTATACGGAATGAAAATATTCATATAGACTTAAATGTAGGATCTGTAAGAGATGAAATTGCCAAGGTGAGAGCAAAGTATGAGTTCAAGCTTCAGGGCCATTCTAATAGACTAGGGCCGTATTTAACTTGGCCTACTAGCCATACACGACTCCGGCGAAAAGACATCTCCACCTTGCAATAACAGTTAGGGCCGTACTTTAAATAATCAATTGTAATTCATTAAATAAATATATTAGACTAATAGCCTCCTTGGCGTTATTCTCTAAGAGGGAAGATTATATAGATAAAAAGTACCGTAAAAAAAGAAGTGTACAGAAAAGTAATTTTAAGTATAAAAAATGTAATTGAAGCAAAATAGATTTTATAGAATTGGAACATGAAAACTAAAGTGTAGATAATCTCGATCCCGGTTAAGAGCGTTATTTCTCGACTTTTGTGTGACTTGTGTTTTTTCGGGCTGCATGGAGAGTTTTTTGTACACAGTTTAATGTGTTGGCATTAAGTGAAGTAATCTTCTGATTAATGATTTAAAAGCGTTATTATGCGCACAAATAACTTTTTAGCGCCCCCAACTAAAAACCAATCGTTGTCCTATATCCGTTGGTGCTGCGTGAACAAGTGGGGCGTGACCAATTAGTGGCCAGTGTCGGCACGACAAAAAATTGTGTGGTCACGGCGCAACAAATTGATTATCACCAAGGATACCCACATGTCCACACATTGGCATAAAGCCGTTGAAAGCGAAATTGGTGCAAACGTGTCCGAACTGTCCATGAAATCCGCTCGTTAGTTGCCGTTTGTTCGTCGGATTGTCTGGTTCAATTAGCGGATATCCTTTTTGGCACGCATGTGTGCATCAAATAATGTTTGACAATACTTTTAAAATTTGTAGAATTTTATTAATTTTGTGGTTATGGATCCTGAAGGCACCTAGCTTGGGAATCCAAGCGCAAACCAGTCAAAATATCAATGTGTGTAAGTGTCCAAAACTATTCATACTATATGTACTATAAGTAGTAGATACACGTATGTTATATTTTTCGAGTTCGTAGTATGTGTCAATACCTTAAGTAAGCTAATTAAATTGAAACTGGGTGGAGGTAGAATTGTAATGACTTGCTTGGCAAGTAAACACGGTTTCAATGCTAATGGTAATGGTGCGTTTCTCCAATTACTTTTCCCATAGTTCTGATAAATGAAGTGGATAATGAGCCAGCGGCCAAGGCAGTCGAAATTGTTCTAACCTATTTGAAAAAGAATCCCAGCTATGGTTTATCGGTACAGCTCGAATCAGTCGAGGCGAATAAAACGGATGCTAAGGTACTGCTGGAAACAAGTAAGTGTCAAGCTCAATCTATTAGAGTGTACTCGTAACTCCGATTAATACACATTCCACAATATACAGTTTGCAACAAGTATGCAAGTAGCATCGAGAAGAAACAGCAACCCCATCTCATACTCGACACTACCAAATCGGGGGTAGCCTCTGAGACCGTAAAGTCCTTTGTTCAGGCACTGGGATTGCCCACCATCAGCGCCAGTTATGGACAGGTAAGTGGGTGTGGAAACGATATTGTTAGCTATAGAAAAAACGAAAGAAGGGGTTTACGGAGTCAACTTATCTCGAGTTACTGCCTATCCTGAGAATGAAAGAAATTCGAATAGCTAGGGATTGGTAACCTTAAGATTTGAAAAACTCTGCCTAAAACTAATTTGCAACTTTCATAAAATCTTGCATTTTCATTTAAACTTGTTCCACTTTTTAAGACTCTTATTCGTCTTATTCGAACGTTGACTTATGAAACGAAATTTCAAAAACATGGTGAATTTTGTTGTGAAAGGCAGAAACCGTTGTTCTTTTTTTTATTTGATTTGTAAGCTCAAAATTGAAAAAATATCATTTGAAATTCTGAATTTGAAAAATTGCAATTGATTCAATCCCTTTACTGAAATAAAAACCAATATTGAATTAGGTTTAAAAAACATAACTGTATTTTAAGGAAATACTTCGTTGAATATATATTCTGAGTTAACGAAATAATTCCCTGTTTTTCAGGGCATATTTCGCTTGATATTGATATTGGAAAAACAATTTCAATGTTAAGACTAGTTGTCAGTTAGTTGTATGTATTTTAAGGATACTTTTTGAAATGTTACTGCGATTTTAGGTACTTTTCTGAGAGTATATAACAAATGAAAGGATATGATTCTAGCCTTTGGCTAAAGAATATACAAATATTTCATTCAAGATATCTTAACTATCTGGTGGATAGCAGGAAGTTCACTCAGAATAATATCATTTAAAGATTTTTTAAAATCGGCCTAAATCATGAAATTACAGCACTAATGTAAAATTTTCTAAATTCAATTCGACCTCAAACAAGAAATCATTGTACTTGAATTGAGAAAAGTTTTCGTGTGAGCTTCAAAGGATAAAAATGAGACCAAAAGAGGCAAAATTATGCAAACGAATGATTGTGGAGCGAGAGTATCACAGTGTTCAAGCATTGCTTTAGCTGTCGGTGCTTCCCCTGGCCATTCAATTCACCTCACATATACAAGTAGAATTGCATACAACTTTTGAACGGACGTTCTGATTTTTGGTGCGGAATAATTCAGTGGATCCTTCCAGGGTTCATTACACATAGATAAACTAACAGATAGTTAGTTAGTTATGAGAGTGATTTTCTAAATAAAAATTCTGCCCGATTGTGCCTTCAACAAATTGCACTTTTTTCTCGCCAGGAAGGAGATTTGCGTCAGTGGCGTGACATCGATGAGAGTAAGCAAAAGTATTTGCTGCAGGTAATGCCACCAGCTGACATTATTCCTGAGGTGGTTCGCAGCATTGTGCGCAAAATGAATATTACCAATGCGGCCATACTCTATGACGATACCTTCGTCATGGACCATAAGTACAAGTCTCTGCTACAGAATATCCAAACCCGTCATGTGATCACTGCCATTGCCAAGGATGGCAAGCGGGAGCGCGAGGAGCAGATTGAAAAGTTACGAAATTTGGATATAAACAATTTCTTTGTGTTGGGGAACCTCCAGTCCATACGCATGGTGCTGGAGTCAGTAAAACCGGCATATTTTGAGCGCAACTTCGCCTGGCATGCGATTACACAGAATGAGGGCGAGGTGAGCAGTCAGCGAGATAATGCGACCATTATGTTTCTGAAGCCCATGGCCTACACACAAAATCGTGATCGCTTGGGCCTGTTGCGTACCACCTTTAATTTGAACGAGGAACCACAATTGGCATCGGCATTCTATTTCGATCTGGCACTGAGAAGTTTTCTAACCATCAAGTGGGTATACGAAGCGGGTTCTTTTGGGTGGAAGGTACATATAAAAAATTGTTTTTTCCCCACACAGAGAAATGCTGCAATCGGGCGCTTGGCCAAAGGATATGGAGTATCTAAACTGCGATGAATTTCAGGGTGGCAATACACCGGATCGTAGTATTGATCTAAAACAGTATTTTACACAGGTGTGTGTGTTTAAGGGCCAATTATGGTTGATTATTGTTTACAAATGTGCGGTCTTTGTATTCAAAGGTTAGCGAACCAACATCCTATGGAACCTTTGAGCTGGTCACGCAACCGGGCAAGCCATTTAATGGGTTCAGCTATATGAAGTTCGAAATGGACATAAACGTGCTGCAAATAAGGGGCGGTAGCTCAGTCAACAGCAAATCGATAGGGACGTGGACGGCTGGACTGGACTCCCCGCTGGTCGTAAAAGATGAGGAACAAATGCGAAATCTGACCGCAGACACGGTCTATCGCATATTCACAGTTGTAGTAAGTACTAACTTGGTAAATTTAATAAATTAATTAATTCATTTAATTGCACACAGCAAGCTCCATTTGTAATGCGTGATGAGACGGCTCCTAAGGGATACAAGGGTTATTGCATCGATTTGATCGACGAAATTGCCGATATAGTACACTTCGACTATACCATACAGGAGGTGGAGGATGGCAAGTTCGGCAATATGGATGAGAAAGGAGAGTGGAATGGCATCGTAAAGAAGTTAATTGATAAACAGGCGGACATTGGACTCGGTTCCATGTCTGTTATGGCAGAGCGAGAGATTGTGATCGATTTCACAGTACCTTACTACGATCTTGTGGGAATTACAATAATGATGCAGCGACCCAGCACACCAAGCTCACTCTTCAAGTTCCTAACCGTGCTGGAGACAAACGTCTGGCTGTGCATATTGGCCGCATACTTCTTCACCAGTTTTCTGATGTGGGTGTTTGATCGCTGGAGCCCGTACAGCTATCAAAATAATCGCGAAAAGTACAAGGATGATGAGGAGAAACGTGAGTTCAATTTGAAAGAGTGTCTTTGGTTCTGCATGACTTCACTGACACCGCAAGGAGGCGGCGAAGCGCCGAAAAACCTATCGGGCCGTTTAGTCGCTGCCACCTGGTGGCTATTCGGGTAGCTAACTATTAGAAACCTTATAGCTATAAATTGTTGTTGAATTTATGCCCATATTTCAGCTTCATCATCATTGCCTCCTACACGGCCAACTTGGCTGCCTTTTTAACCGTATCGCGTTTGGACACACCAGTAGAATCGTTGGATGATTTGGCCAAGCAATACAAAATCCTGTACGCCCCCTTAAACGGCTCTTCGGCAATGACATACTTCGAGCGCATGGCAAATATTGAGCAGATGTTCTATGAGATATGGAAAGATCTGTCCTTAAATGATTCGCTGACGCCTTTGGAACGGTCCAAGTTGGCAGTCTGGGATTATCCGGTTAGCGATAAGTACACCAAAATGTGGCAGGCTATGCAGGAGGCTCAATTGCCGGGAACGCTGGCGGAAGCAGTGGCTCGAGTTCGCAATTCAACTACAGCTACTGGGTTCGCGTTTCTTGGCGATGCCACTGATATTCGTTACTTGGTAATGACCAACTGTGATTTACAAGTGGTGGGCGAGGAGTTTTCAAGAAAGCCATACGCTATTGCCGTGCAGCAGGGCTCTCATCTCAAGGATCAGTTTAATAATGCGTAAGTTCTGGATATAATTAAGAATGCAGTTCAGTAAATGCCCATTTTGTTTTTATTAGCATTTTAACATTGCTCAATAAACGCCAACTGGAAAAGCTTAAGGAGAAATGGTGGAAGAATGACGAAGCTCAGGCCAAATGCGACAAGCCCGAAGATCAATCGGATGGCATATCCATACAGAATATTGGTGGCGTGTTCATCGTCATATTTGTGGGTATAGGCATGGCCTGTATTACGCTGGTCTTTGAGTACTGGTGGTATCGGTACCGCAAGAATCCCCGCATTATAGATGTGGCTGAGGCCAACACTGGCAGCAAAGACGGCGGCAAATTGGCCGATGGCGTCATATTGGGACACAGCGGCGAGAAATTTGAAAAGTCGCACGCTGCATTGCGGCCACGCTTTAATCAATATCCGGCTACCTTCAAGCCGCGTTTTTAGAGGACTTGTAAACAGAAAATAGACAGTAAAACTCGCACAGGGAATATCTACGTCCATCTAGAATATGCAATAGTTTGAAATTTCGTAAATTTTGCACTCTAATAAAATAGCAGTTGCTTTAGCAATGCAAAAGTTACGGTATTTCATTGGTTTTATAATGTGGGCGAAAATTTCTTTCTGTTTATTGATATGCAATTCTTGCGGTGTAGTAGTTACTTGACTTAACGCATATTAATTGATAGTAAGTATAATCTGCTGCTTTTTTAAAATGCCTCAATTGGAATATCTAGCGCCAAATGTTTCCCGCCCGCTGTGAACGGCAATTGAATTAGCATGAAGAAGAAGATGAGTGAGTCAGCTGTTGAATTGTCAACGCCGACTCACACTTTTAACTATTGGGATTTTATCTGAATATTGTGGCTGATAATAGAGAATTCTGTTCATTTTGTTCAGTCCCAGTCGACCGTAAAACTGTTCGATAGAATACATAATGAGCGACAGCTCCGATGAAGAGTATTTGGGGACGGATTGGCTTCCTTATAGTGAGCGCAGTGAGTGGGCGGATGTAAAGCCCCTTCCACAGGATGATGGTCCGAATCCAGTGGTGGCCATCGCTTACAGTCCCAAGTGTAAGTAGATTTATATATAAAATAAAGTCAATGAGTAATCCTCCTAAAATTTACTTAGTTCGCGAGGTCTTCGACTATTTTCGTGCCATAATTGCGAGCCGAGAAAAAACTTGGCGCGCTTTAGAGCTGACCACAGATGCATTGCGTCTGAATCCCGCTAACTATACAGTGTGGCAATACAGACGTGATATTCTGCGCGAGCTGGACGCGAATCTGAAAAATGAGCTGGACTATTTGACCGAGGTCATCGGGCAGAATGCAAAGAACTACCAGGTCTGGCACCATCGGCGCGTTATTGTGGAAATGCTGAATGATGCGAGTCAGGAGCTGGAGCTGACGCAGAATGCGCTTGACATCGATGCTAAAAATTATCATGCTTGGCAGCACAGACAGTGGGCAATACGCACATTCAAGTAGGCTCTAAGGACATTTATAAGCGGTCAACTTTTATTGTTATTATTTTTACACAGCCTCTATGATGACGAACTGCCTTTTGTTGATCGATTGATTTGCGAGGACCAACGTAATAATTCGGCGTGGAATCAGCGTTTCTTCGTCCTCAAACACTTGGGTTTCACGCCCGAGGTCATCCAACGTGAGCTGGTCTACACGATGAATCGTATACGCATTATAAAGGGCAATGAGAGCGCTTGGAATTATTTAGTGGGGGTGCTGCGACAGAGTGAGGATGGATTGCTAAGCAGCTACCCAGAGGTATTGGAATTCAGCGAGGAACTCTACAATGCCGGCAATCGTTCGCCCTATTTACTAGCATTTTTAATTGATGTGTATCAAGAGCAAGCTTTGCAGGACGGTGCAAATGAACAATTGGCACGCAAGGTGTATACACTATGCGACGATATGGCCACAAAACACGATGTCATTCGTCGCAAATATTGGCAATACGTGGCCGCCAACTTGAAGTCGCAACTGAGCAGCAAATCGGCCAAATAGCACATTTCACATTTGCTTAATTCTTATCATACGTAAGTTAGTTCTTTATACAGAAATACATGCATACTTTAATATTCATGTGAATATACAATGTACAAAAAGCATACAAAACATATGTACACATATGACAAGGGCTTTGTGTTTGCCGCAGCTCTCGCGCGTATCGATGTCAGCATCATGGGTTTGTTTGCCTTTCAGCGCTGCTTGTTTGTACACGTAAATTTCATTAACAACGTGCAGATAATTTTAGCTGGCCTCCTTGGGCCCTGCCATTAATGTAGAGTTGGGTCGGAGCTGCATTTGCTGATATTATTTTTATCTATTACTACTACTTGTACATCTTGTTATCTGTGCGTCCAAGTATGCAAGGAAATGATTTATTATGGGTAGATGTGCGAGAAGAAAAATACGTTTGCAGCTGTGTCTCAATAATGGTATTTATTTAAATTTTCTTCTACCATTTTTAGGTTCGAGTACATACAATATAGCAATTGTTAATAGAACTTTTCATAATTTGATTTTGTATTTCTTGATGCATATAGCTGGAGTTTCCTTTCTTTGTTGTTTTTTATTTGTTTACGTCCTCATTTTTATCAATTGCTAATGGAAATCTTGTAATAGGCAAATTCTTCAACATGTTCATACATACATACGCAGATTTTCATACATAGAGTACACGCAAATCAATGTTCAATCCTCGACTTATGTAGGTATGTTGGCATACATGTGCATATTAATGTACGTATTTGGTATATACTTAAAAAGAAGCAGAAGACATCTTTGGCGTGTTTTTAGTTCAGCTAAAAAAATATACGTATAGGAGCAAAAATCATTGAGTACTCGTTGCGTAGTTTTGATAAAAATTCATAATATTAAAAAATATATAATAAATATATGTATTTTGTTTCGTTTCATTTTGTTTTTGTTGTTTTTTTTTTGTTTGTTGGGTATGTATAAATTTGATAAAGCCTATAACTCCAAAAGTGGTACGAATAGAGTAGATAATGTACATAATACTTAAAAAATCAGAAGCATATTCTTTTGGGCCATGTTGGAATTTGTTTACGTAATTTTTATTATTAACATAATAGTGTAAAAATTTGTAATTCACTTTGAAGCTTTACAATCCATTGCCTATTTGGTACCAAAAAACCTTTATTTAAAATTTTTTCTCATTTTGAAAAATGTATTCACCTGTTTGCCAAGTTTGCGTGGATCCAGAGAGAAAAAGTTAAGTGTGAGTGTACATAGTTCTTTAACAATTTGATATATAATATATATATATACTATATATATTTATAAGTATATATAGAGTTAGTATATATAATAGTTTATAATAAATTTATATGCTCCTTTGCTCGTGCCATCATTTCACACAATGTTGTTGTTCTCAAGTGTTTTGTTTTATTTTATTTTGTGGTTTCGTATTTGTAAAAGCATTTTTAGCAAAAAATTAAAAATTCATTTGTTCGTTTCTTTTAAAATTTGACTCCATAGACAGCGTGTTCCAGTTATATTATTATTTGTTCTTTACGTAGAATTGCATAAATGTTTATTTTTTCACATTCCTCCCGTTCCCTCTACTGTGTGACATTATATATATAAAATAAATCATTTGATTAACACTCGTTTTAGCTTGCAAGTTTGTTGAAAACACGCTGCGTTTTGTGTGAGGAAGCTTCATATACCATCTATAAATATATATGTATGTATGTATATGTAAATACTATGTAGATATACTTTATATAATTGTTAAAAAATCAACGCCACTTAAACCTGGCTATGTGGTCGATCTATTCCCATTTACTTGTAAGTATATCTTATGGCGTATCCAACTGCTACCTAAGGAAGTGCTCTTCAGATCTAAACACACTCTACTATAAAGACGCTCTAAGCATGCGCTTCCTACTCGCTTGATTCTCCATCTGTTCTTCTTTCTGTCTCTGTCTCTGTCTCTCCATCTCCCTCCCTGTGTCCCTGCCCTTGCTTAATTTTGGTGGCTCTTGGAGCCAGTTTCTACTTATCCTCGCCGATGCCTTCATCAGTAGTTGTCTTACGCTCTCTAGCCTCTTCGTTGCTGATATCACATTTTTCAGCCAACATGTCCTCGATGCCCTCATCCACAGTCTGACTCTCGCCCGGCACATGCTTGCCCACCGCAACAACAACACACTCCAGCTGAGGTAGTGGTGGAAATTGGCCATAGGATGTGTTAGTTATAGTGCCGACAGTATCATCATCGTAGCCGTCGGGCGTCATTTTCACGCGGCACGTCTCAAAGGCCTTGACGTAACCGAGTTTCGTGTACAGATTTCTGGAAGCATCGTTCTGTGGACGTATCACAACGAAGGGCGTGTAGCCTCGCTCTATCACGAGCTTAGTCAGCGCCATAGCCAAACGAATACCATAACTGTAGGAGATAGTTTTATAACAAATTGAATAGTGCAGAAGTAGAATTCCATTGGGTATATAGTATATAGTATTGGAATATTCCAATCTGCATATATTTTGGCATCATTCCCAATGGTATTCCTTAAAAATCCGATTTTTAGTTTCCACTTACCCCTTACGCCGATAATCTGGACGTGTTTGCATCGAAAACATTGCGCCATAATATGAGTGCACCATCCATGCGGCCAGCTCGTTTGTATCCTTTCGAAATATACCCAAGCCGGGCAGCACACGCACTAGTATGTCAAATACCTTAACGCATTCGATTTCATTGGCCGGATATAGTTCGTGTATGCCCTGGACGTCCTCTAGAGTTAGCGGACGCATAACGGCATCCTCTGGCAAGGGCTCAAGCTCCAAGGAGGTATTGAGCTTGTCACACACATAGATATCACCGCTCAGTCGTTCCATAATGCCCATTTTTGAATAGAAATCATCCAGGCGATTCATAATAGCGATGTGCGTAAAGTTCAGGTACAATTGCTTTTGCCAATCTATAAGTACATCTTCGGTGCGCATAAGATCGACATTTTCGATTTGTGCGGATGGACAAAATATGCCAAAGCTTTGGTATATATTGTTGTTGGGCTGTAATGAATAAATGCAGAAATCTCTTTAATATACATATATTCAAAAGGTATTGGTCAGTTACATTTACCGTTAGCGTACATCCTGGAAAATGTAGAATTATAGGTTTTTCGGGCCAATCTTTAGCAACATAAAAAGTGAAGTCCCAAACACGATCATTCAGGTACGTTTTTATAGTTTGATGAAACTGCAAGGAAACCGAATGAAAAATTTTTAAGTTATTTAGGAAATATCATATGAATAAGAGAAACATGGAACGTTAATATTTAGTAATAATTGCCAAAGGGTAAAAAGGTATTATATACTAGCTTAGTTCGAATTCTCCTCCGGAGGACGGAGAATCGGCCATATAAATATTCTTGATTAGTATGACAAGACGAGTACATATCACCATGTCCGTTTATCCGGCCTGTATCTCCTGATCTCAGGAAGCATAAAAACTAGAATTACCACACTTGGTATTTCTATGTATTCCTCTAAGTGATAAACAGGACAATGAACTTTGCGATACAACATTATTTGTTTTATTATTTGAATCTAATCATTATAGAATTAGTCAGCAGCCAACTAATGAATCAACTTAGTTTACTGAAATAAATAAATAAATAAACCTTAAGTTCAATATTGGAAATTAGTTCCAAAAATATTTGGTGGAATATAATGCCCGATTAATCATTCAAAGTGTTAAGATTTTAAGACGGAATCTAATCATCTCCAAATTAAATTATGCCAACTAATGATAGCTAGTGAAGTTACTTAGTTTACTTAAATAAATAAACTCTCAGTTCAATATTCGAAGTTTGTTCCCAACATACAAATATTTAGTCGAATGTAATGTCCGACTAATCTATCATAATGCTACGATTTCAAGACGGATAATAAAGAAAGTCCTAGAGGTCTAGACTGAACGGGGACTCCTGCAGTACTCTCAATACAACTACTCTGAACTTAGCTTTTCATACGACATAATCGGTCTGCTTAACGCGTTAATTGAAACAACGACAAGTCGACGCTGGTCATGTCGCAAATTTCTTGAAGCTGCAGTTTCTGGACCACTTCGAAATCGAGGGACCGAAGGAACGGGCGGACAAAACGTACACGTGAAGGCATAAAAATTTGAAATAAAACAAGCGTAAATAGCAAAACAGGTCAACAAAATGCGAGACCTCTGCTGGGTTTGAGATTGCATGACTGACTTGTGGTCTAGTTGCCGGCAGGCATGCAGCCAGTGGAAGTGGGTTTTGTAATGAAGGGTCTGGGACGGGCGGGTACGGTTTGCTTGTATTGTTCGGTTTAGGTAATTGCCAGTAAATTACCTGAGAAGGGCGTTTATGGGTTGGAAATGCCTCTGAGCGGGTGGGTGTCAGTTTCAAATGTAGTATACGAGTATTTATGGCAGCTTCGAGTGTAGACAAACACACATACATACACAGCATACATTTATACATATGTACATACAAGTACATATATAAATACCATATCTCACCTTTAATGATTCCGGCAGATAGCGTTCTAAATACACCAAAATTTCTGGAAGCTCTGATTCATGCACCAAACGAAAGTGTTTACCTTCAGGAATGATTTCCATTTCTGCAAATAGAGTTTATTATAGTTTAGATTATGAATTTCGTAATTAAATTTCCTATTTAAGCGAAATGTGATATCTAGAGCTATTTATAAAGGCAATAAATATAATCGGAGTTCTAGATTTATATCCAACTTTTGAATATATTAAATTTAAAATGCTACTTAAGCTTTATTTATTAGAATAAATCAAATAATTATAATAAATAAATACCCTTTATTACAGATATATTTTTTAAGGTTTATTTTGGAAACGAAAAGGAAAATTAATTTTTAACTTTTATTTTTACTTTCATAGAAATAACATATTAAGCTTTGAATAAAAGTTGTACAATTATTATTACAGCCTATAATTATAATTTTATTTTAATTTCAAATGATTCTAACCTTAATTCACAGAAGATACACTGATTTAATTGAAAAGGAACGAATCTTATACAAATTTTAAAGCACCTATCCACATTAGGTTTTAAGGTCTGTCTTGGGGAGAAATTGTTATGAATCTTGAAACTTTGTGCACCTTAAATGACTTTATATACGAGTAAGACTTTTCAATTAGTAACTCATATTCGGCTTCGATATTAGAATTTTGGTTAAAAAATGCAATACGTGGTCTGTTCAAAAAAAAGATGGAGGTTTTGCTCCCTGTTTTCTTCGATTATAGTACAATAAGGGCAAGGGCGTAGGCAGCTTTTACCAAAGGGGGGCCAAAAAATTAAAATTGATGTAATAATGCACGATGCATTTAAAAACTAACTCATGCATATGATCAATGAAAAAACTTCAACAAATCCAACTCAGATCCATTTTAAGGCGAAATAGTGCGTCATAATAATGAACGTGTGGTCGACTTTATATGGGAAAATTTTTTGTAGGGGGGTTAAGGCCCCCCCTGCCCCCCTGCCTACGCCCTTGCTACAAGGAAGTTATGGAACGTTTGTGTGTATATATGTATCCCTATACAATTTCTGTTCAAAAGAAAAGGTGAATTGCATTATATCTGACGGAGATTACTTTGGAGGGTACAAAATGGATATTGATAAATAAATAAATACATACTTTTGAAAAAAATTCACATTTTCTTTTGAACAAACCACGTACCTCTCTCGACATGGGTAGGCATGACACTGTAATGAACTATTTTACCAAAAGTAAGCGCCTAGGCTTCGATATTAGAAAATTTGTTCATAAAATGCAATGTGTATATACCTCGTTGTACATAAGTAGTTAGGCATCACACTTTAATGAACTATTTTACGAAAAGTAAGCGCTTAGGATATGAGAAATGCGTTGTAATTAATGTTGTGTCTTATTCAGCGCTCTCTATTAATAGCAAAACATAATGCCACGTCCAGATGTTGGCCATTATTATGACAATGTCTTGGCCGTCCATGATTTCCACTTCAAGTGAGTTCGCGTCCATAAGACGACGAATAAGATGTGCACAAGGCAAATGCAAAGTAGTACCTTCGATATCGTCCTGCAGTTTTTTGTTGTTGTTGTTGTTGTCCATAATCGCGGCAACTGTTATAATGTCTATGTGTAGCTTTTATTTTTGTGTGCTGCGCCGCCCATTATCAAGGTCTCACGTTTTGGCCTCTTTCAAGGGCAGCCATGGAGAAAAAAAAGTGAAATGACAAGCGTCTGCCAACGATGACGAGAACTAAGCGGGAGGGAGGGGCCAGGGGAGGCGTCGACATTCACTGCGGCCATTTTGCGTAATCGCTACAAGCTCAGTGGATACTGTCATGCTTTTCAATTACCCCTAAAAGCTTGGTAGGCATATGTGACCGGACTTTTATTGGATTCTATAGCAAACTTGCAAAACAAGATAATTAAGAATGTGCCCATTAATCAATTGGCAACGGAACGTGTACGGACTTTGTTTGTGTTATATGCAATCTATTTTCTATTGGGAGAGGGTGAAGGATGGGGGTAGACTAATCCATTATATTAAAGAAACTACAAAAATAAATATTTATATTTTTTGGTATATATTTTCTTTCCTTAAAAATCACAAAGCAACTATTTCTATATCTTGTAAATAAACCTTACACCCCATAGAAAGGCGAAATGACCGAAGCTATAGAAAAATCTTGCTCAGCATCAAGAGTCATTACAAAATGTTCGTTCATTCATCTGTCTGTATGAACGCATACTTTCCAAAAACTATAAAAGCTTAATTCACCTTTATATATTTTTCAAAAGAAAACATTAATTTTGCAACAATTTTAATGAAAAGAAAAATTTCAAATAGTCTTTAAGCATTACTTTTAATTTAGCCACTGGATTGGGGTTCAAATGGTTTGGAAAGCAACATCTATTGTGAATACCACCACATCTTAAGAATGGAGGTACAATTTTAATATGTCTTTTAGGGCCATTTGATTTATTTCTGATCTATAACCTACGACTATATATATATAACTATTTGCAAAAAGGTACAATGAGATGTTTGCCTAGCAGTCTGGACACATTCGATTGACTGTTCAAATGTTGGCTTATTTGATTGATTTGATTTGAATGACTGATTGCTCGACGTTCTAAACCACACTATCCTTTGTCTGCTTCAAAAGTCATACACGTACCATAAACATGCAGTTGTTCTTGTTGTTGTTGTAGCTGTTGTTTCTTTGGGTTACTATGACTATTTGTTGCAGCTATTTGTGTCACATTCACACCCACACACTGAAACCCAACATGGCGCATAAAAAAGAAATGTAATAAAGGCTACAGGGTTTGGTGGTGAGCTGAAATTAGTGTTAGTCATGTAACACACAGGACTGGTGGGTGTTTGAATTCTACAAAGCGTGTCTGAGTGTGTATTCTGTGAATTGTGTTCTGCGGACAACCTCTACCGTGGATGTAGACTAAGAGGAACTAAGATGCTCTAAAATATTGCAAATTTATTAAGGTTGCATTTTAAAAAGTTTTACGAAACAAAACACAAATATCACTCAGGCAGGAATTGTAATATAAGTTTATATTCTTTTTAAGCAATTACAGAAACTGCCTTTTCAGGTTATCACTAATTTTGTTACCCTATTTAGTGTGTTCTGCGAACAACCACTACCGTGAAGGTCAACTAGGAGAAACTTAAAGGATCTGAAAATTTACAAAATTATCAAGCTTGCATTTCAACGAGTTTCACGAAATGTTAAACAAATATTCCACAGGCAAGAATTGTAATACAATGCGAATAATAAGTTTATACTTGTATTCCTTTTTCAGCAATTACAGACACTACTTATTCAGATTATTACTAATTTATTTCATTTTCACTTACTTATTCAATTTTTTCCCCTCTTTAATCTTTATTTAAGATCTATCCTAGGTAGGGACAATTACTAAATTTTAGCTTATATTTGACAATTTTTCATCATGCTTCTGTAATATTGGTTGCGGCGTGATTTGAACAGAGTGCCAACTCAAGGAACGAACAAATTCTGAAATCAGTCTCTAACTTAATGCAAAAAAATAAATCTCAAATGATTTCATTCATGTATTTTTGTGTTAATATTTCAATTTAGTTTGAGAGTTTAGAGATATTTTAAATATCAAATATTTTGATCCCATTTACATGTTCTGAACAATTTTAAATGTGATATAAAGAGCTCTACTCTAAAAAAAACCTTTAATTGCTAAAGCATATATGCTACCTAAGAGAATATTTCTAGTTATTTTTGAGGCTTTCTTATTTTTAAGTCGAATTTAGAACATAATATTATTCTATATCTTTATTGTGATGTAATATAAATAGTAATCTGAATCGACATCTTTCGTTGATTTATTAAATAAAATATACAGAAGTACATGGTTCTCCTCAAAGGCTCCTCAAAAGGGAATGATTTAATGCACAAATTTCGCTTTTAAAAACTAAATTAGGTTTTATTTTTAAGCCGATTTAGTGATAGAAAACAACTATGTAGTACCAGGTAAATTTTTGGAATTATAATTTGGCTGATTTTTGAACAGCATTGCAATTAGGCGATTCGCACTGTACAGCGCCCGTTCTTGTTATTCACAAGTGCCCTAGTACCCAGTGCTAAAGATTAGCACGAGCGGCCATGTTGTCTGCAATTTACTAGAATGTCGATGTCTGCATGTCTGGGCCATTACAGATGTCCAGACGTCGGACCGCTTTGTTCTCTCCACCTGACTGAGTGTGTGCATGTGTGTGTGTGTCTATGTGTGTGTGCGATTCTACTAATACAAAATCAATAGGTGGGCTTTCCATTTCTACCTAACGGGCAGGCTAGATAGCCAGAGTCGTCGGGCCTCTGGCTGTCATCAGAGCATATGTTCGTATTATCGCTTTGTTTACTTTTCTGCTAGTCGTAGGTGTTCTGATAAAAATACATGAACCGCACACATTACCGCCTGCAGGTCTAAGAGCACCCCAGAGACAGGCAAAAAGCAGGCGCAGCAGCAGAGGAGCCGAGAAAGTGAGACACCAACGAGACCCGACGCGTCGTCTGCGACCATCGGCCGTGCCCTGGGGCGTCATTTCTGCGCCCTCGTCCTCGGCATCGCCCTCGTCCTCGTCGTTGTTTTCACACACTTGCAGCCAATTAATTTTTAGCCAGCATTGCCGGGAACGGTTTTGGCCCAATTATTATTATTATTATTATGCCTATCTATGATGCGGATATTTTACGGATATAGAAAATACAAAAATATGCACTGCAGCAGATCATTAGGCATGTCCGCTTTTCGTTTTCTAATTGACGTGCACACATGTGCGCCTGGGAAATGGACTCTGCGAATCTTGCTTTTTCGCCAACATTCGCAAGTTACAATTAAAAAGAAATGCAGAAATTGAAAATTGTAAAAAATATACAATTAATATAAACACGCGCTAGCATCGACCCGCCGAAGGTTATATACACTCGTATTTGATCTTGCCCGACGTGATAAGGCGATTGGGTTTTAGGGAAACACCTTCAGAATGAAGGGGAAGACCTTAGCGCTCTCACAAGTATATTGTCCTATTGTTTCTTTCTTTCTATAAAAAGACAGAATAGATCTAGGATAAATGATTTATTCTATATCTGCCTTGATTGCCTTAAACAAAAGGTGCTTACGTCCGTATACATGCTTTGAGATATTTAATTAAAGGGCAACAATGCCAAATTTTCAATCTGAAATTAAGCCCGCACGGATTACAAATTACAACAAAAAAAAATGAAAAATATAATGCAAGAATAGAAGTTATATATAGGAAGAACATCTTCATAAATAGCAAGTCGCTGCTACTTTCTAGAGTAAGAATAAACTTACGAAATGAAATTTCTTATAATAATAAGACTAATATGGTCTTAAACAGCTCAGCACAATTCTGATGTCCTTTCATTTTACTCTTATATGAGTAAAATAGATATTTAATGGCACTACAAAGTATTGGAGTTTGTTGTTCTACAAAGTTAATATCTTCGAAATGGTGGAAAAAATGATAGGTTTTATGTCCCTTTAATCCCAGGGTACATTAAATTTGTTTTAATTACATTAAAAAGTGATTTAATTTAGTAGTTTTTGTCTATCTTTGTCTATTGCCTGTATATAACTACAATATATGTTTTCCCCCTTTTTACCATTCAAGTATACTTTTTAAACAATATCCCCAAATAATTACTAGCGTAATATAGTAATTTAAATGTAATCCAATACTTGTAACACTAGGATAAGGCTCATAAAAAAAATAGCATATGCCTATTACAAAACAAAGTATACAAAGTATATTGCAACTATTATCTTAGACGTTTTCTTAATCTTAAATTAAAAGAATAGTTTAGATAAAAGCAAATAATATTCAGATACCATATATGTATATATATGTATCGAATTGTATCATATCAGGATTTTTGAGATCATAATTACGCGTTGCAAACAGCGGCATTAAGTTGTAATACTCTGCTGGCAGTGGCTTATAAATATTCAGCAAAGATGTGTGCACTTACAAAAAAATTAAATCCGTTGACCTTGTAAAAATTTGTTTCCTTGCTGCTGTTGGCTGTTGATGTTCTTGTTGTTGTTGTTGTTGTTGGCTGCTGCTTTTCTTTTGCGTTTGCTGGCGGCTTGCGTGTATTAAATTAATTTATTTTCAGCGCTACTATTATTTTTGAATTTGTATAATAATAATGATTAACGGTGTTATTAGTTTATAAGTGCTTGGCTTTTATTAATTATTCTTGCAATATATATATTATAAAAAACTAATAGTTTTGCTTTGGAAAAATAGCTTTTCTTTTTGTTTTTTTAATATAATTTATTTGTTTTCGAATTTATTTTGAAAAAAAGTGCAGTATGAAAATAAATTTTGTTCCTTTTGTTATTTATTGTTTTGGTTTGAATTGTTATTATATTGTTTATTTGTTATGCAAATCACAGATGCCTTTATTTAAAAAGTATTTCTTTTATGGGTTCAATTAAAATTTTTGAATTATTTTATGTGTTGCTGCTTGTCTTCAAATATTTGCAATTTATATGTGATTGTGAGATCTGTCTTTCTATTATTTATAGATATATATACTTGTATGTATGTAGATGTGCTCACTTTAGGGCTTTTATCTTGCCAAAGAGATTTGCTGATTCCGATTTTGTTTATTATGTTGTGTTGGTTAGGCCTTTTTGAATGGAGATGTCGGCAGGCTAAGAGCCACAAAACATGCACTTACACTTTTCGGTTTTCCCTTAGAGGAAAAACGGGTACTTATGCAAAAGCTGAGTATTCTCAGGAAATTTTTTTGTTTGAATATCCTTTATATTTATTTATATATATATATATATATAGTTTATTTTGCAGCCTTTGGCTTAGCCTCCGATGCACCTCCACAGACAGGCCTAACCGCAAGGAAGCCTGTCTCTAATGCACCTTCTTGGCTTCTCCTGCTCTATACTAGGTGCACGATGCCCAAGACCAACAACAACATGTGGCAGGTAGCGGCTACGTCGGCTTCTGCTTCGGCGGCAGCTGTTGTGTGAGGAAGTTGCTGCTGCTGCTGCTGTTTCTGTTGTTGTTGTTGTTGTTGTTGTCAATGGGGTGGCTGCGTTAGCTTCACACACACACACACACACACACGTTGCAGTGGTTGTTGTTCTTGTTGTTATGTTATTATTATTTTTTTTTGGCAGACGTCTGTCGTTTGTGGCCTTCCCGATTGGGTTGCTGCTTCTATCTTTAATTTTATGCCTTTTCACTTGCTATTTCGTTGCAATTTATGTATTTTAGGAAAAATTGATTTTCTGTTGTTTCCATGCGTTTTTCTTGCCTGCCTTGCTGGCCTCAATGTTGCCAGTTGTTGTTGTTGTTGCTGCGCCTGCGGCTGTGGCTGCGACTGTGGCTGCGGCGTTTCGATGGCTACTTGACTTGAGCTCCGAGCTCTGAATAAATCAGTTATGTGTTGGGTGTTCGAAGAAAAATTGCTTGGCCAAGTGCCTTTGCTAAGCCTTGGGCTTATGGCTTCGCAGCAACGCTGTCTGGTGCTCTATAGTATTATCCTGTATATCCTTAAGTTTTCAACTTCGATGCTGTTGTCGTTAGCTATGCTGTGCCAGCCACCCCAAGGGCAGTCGACTCTACTCTTCGTTATTCGTTCGTTCACACAAATTAAATTTGATCGGATGTTAAGCACTTTTTCTTCGCGTGGACTGATGGACTTGTGGACCACTGGCAATATGCAATTCGTTCTAATTTGTTGGCTGCGCTTTACAAGTGAATTCGTAGCGATTGCGAACTAAACTGGCTGACTGACGAGAACGAACTGATTCTGTTGTTTGGCCAGGAGCAGATGTTGCCACAAGTTTATATGCGTTGCGAATCGTGAGGCAGACGACGGCAAAAGCAACAGTAACAGCAACAACAGCGGCCGCGGCAGCAGCAGCAGCAACGTGGCAACATCGCTGTCACTGTCGGCTCTGGCTCTGGTCTCGTGTATGAGCAGACGGACACGCTTTTCATACCCTCAACATAAAGGGTGAGAGGGTACATTAGGTCATTGCGAAAAAATGTAACACCCAGCAGACAGAAGTAGTTGGGGCAGTACGAGTACAGACTAATGCGATACATTTATTAAACTCAATTGCACCGAACTGGATTTTCTCAAATTATTTACAAATTAAGTTTCACACGAAAGTTCAACTAATTAATGATAGCCATTTTACTAAAATAATATGTGTGGGCTATTTTAAAAATGTCTTTAATTTGCATTTGATGCTCTATATTAATTTGATTTTTGTTGTTGCAGAAGTATTTCAGTATTTCTAAAGATTAGGATTAAACCTAAAACTTGCACACAAATGCAAATAAAAAGTCATATAAAAATTGCATTTCTTAGAATAATTTTTGCACGCACATACACACCCACCTGTGCACAATTCTTTAAACACATTTGTTGACCAAGCCTATTTTGTTTAGGTAAAATGCAAATAGGTTTTATTTACCAGGGTAAAAGTTCATATAAATAGTTTAAAACTTAAGCTAAAAAGACCTATTTACAGCAATTAGTGTTGAAAAGCAAAAGACATAGGCATACAATTATTAGCAGGTACAAAAAATATTTTTCTATTGAAATTCTATCGGGGTAATTGAGGTCAATATTTTAGATTGTAAAGAATCTAGTTTTATCTGAGCTTTGGTCAAATGCAAGGACCTAAGTGTGGAATTTATATGCTTTTGTGTATAGAGTGTAGCTTGGCCAAACATGCTCAAGCAAAGCGTTCGTACTTGTTAGTTATTTGTTGTCCCCATTACCATTACATGCTATATGCCGCCCATTGCCGTCGCCTGCATTCGTGTTCGTGTTTTATGCTCACATGTTGCCTGCTTGAAGCACTCTCGCGCTTTTGACTCTCTCTCTCTCTCTCTCTCTCTCTCGTTTTCTCTCTTCGCAGCTCTCGGCAACGATTGTATTAATGGCATTGTTGATGTTGAGATTGCCACGTTGCATGCAACACGCGAACGAGTCAGCCGTCAGCCCTCAGCCCCGACTCCTTTAAGGGAGTTTTCTTTTGCCTGATGTTGTATTAGTGTTGTTCTTGTTGCCATTGTTCGCTCTGCCTATATTGCACGTTGCTTAGCGCAACTGTACACCGTACATCTGACGGCGAACAGTTGGGAATGCGTTTGCAACATCACATCATTTCACCAGCAGCGGCCACGGGCGTCAGCATAACACGTATACGCCATGTAGTACCGACAAAAATTCGAATACCTGCATACAGAACGATTTACACGCACGCACACACACACAAACAAACACAGACGCCACGTGGCGTATAAGGAGCGCGATTTTAGGAGTAAATGCGGCGCTCTCGCATGCGCTCGAAAGGAAACGCCGCACCTCATCAAAACATCCAAACATTTGCCGCTTTGTGTTGTTGTTTTCTTTACTTTTTTAGCCATTATATGGCATGCACAGCTGTGAACAAAGCGTTGAGCTAAAACGCCTGTCCACGACTCGGTTCTAGCATTTTATTCGCTATGGGTTTGATGATTTGCCTACGGAGGCGCATGTCGCTCACATTGATTGATGGCCTATAAGCTTTGCACGTGTAGAGTCTCAATTTCCATAAAGCGATAGCTATAGTTTTATCCAGCAAGTGTCCAGAGGGTTCCGCCAGCGTCATGTAATAGCCGGAACAATTAGTTCAAGGGCGCAGGTCAAGCGTTTAAGTGGCCACTAGTCAGCTCGCTTTGCTTTCAGATTCCCGTTGCATAAATATGGCAATCAACATACACCGGCAGAAATAACTTATGATATATTGCCAAAATTACAACTAAATTGTATTTCATTCGTCTAAGTACAAAACAAGCTCGAGCCGTGTGTGCCCGAATCTTAAAAGCCATGTAACTACAGTGAAAACTCCTTTAACGGAAACCTCTTATATCCGGAGACTCTCTTCGGCGGACACTTTTTCTAAAATATTCGATCGGCGAGCACATGTGGATACATGTTTATTACTTTTCGTCTATTATGCCTATTATAAAAAAAAAGTAGTAACTGCTTTTTAAAAACATAATTTTAATACCAAAAAATGAACTTAACTGAAAAAAGTCAATGTATCCATTTATGCACTTTTCGATTTTTTTAATTTATTTTTTTATATGTTTTCCAAAGACCCTTAGCTTTAATTACAATATTTATGCAATTGGGAATACTATCAACTAAATTTCTTGCACCACTCCGTCTGCACGCGGCTCCATAGGTCATCCAATCTGTATAAAGTATTTAAGTAACCCCTTAAGCGGACACTCCCCTTGGGCGGACAAAAATTGGCCGACCGTGAGTGTTCGGGTTTACACTGTACTTCATGAAATCCTGGCATTCATATCGTCAAACGGACAAATCTTAATCGGCTTAATCGATTCGCTTGAAGTCTTCAATGACTCCTTCTGAGACTTACAAAACAATTTAAATGTTCTTTAAAAGCGCCAATAACTGCATATTAATATAACTTTAAATTAATTTGAAGTGTAAATTAAAAACCAAAGCCTTTTCAGATCAATGTCATTGTGCTTTATTAAATTATCTTTACGCTTAAATTAATAAAAATATAAACCAGCTGCCCTTCTACATATGTACATATATAAGTATGTATGTGCATACATATGTTCATAGTAATAGATATGTCTACATAAAAATCTTTCTTTAGAGGCAACTGATTGTACCCAAAGTATTGGTAACGAAAGAAGGATGGTCATAATAATATAATTTGAAAAAGATGGGTCGACTATACCTAGCAACTATTTGACGGACAAATGCAAAATCAGAAAAATAATGGAATTGGTTATAAGTATATTATTTCAGTGGAAGGTACAACGCCCCTCGTATATATACATAAGAGAAAAAGAAAATCTTAATTTTTTACTAAGTAGTTGAAGCAGGTGGATGATTCGTATAGATGGATGATTCTTATACAGATCAGGACAATATTGATCGCTATATGTGTATAGAATATCTGTTATGAAAAATAGACTGATGCGGTTCGGTTCATATGTATCTACATACATACATACATATGTACATATGTGAATGGCCTGGTTTCTAGATTTGGTCGTGTTGGTCATCAGTGGTGAGCTGCTCATCAGTGGTGAGCTGCTCATCTCAGTGCGAGTTTTCTCAGTGCACTTAAATCTAATTGAAACTCTGAGGGCATGCAATGTCAAAACTGAAATATATATGCTGCAGTCAAGGTCGCGCCAAATTGTGTGCGAATTGACATTTTTATTGGTGTAAAGTTGCGGCGCCGCCCCAGAATCGAGAGCCGAGGGTCGAGGGTCGAGCCATGGGCCCTTGGTTGAAATATCGCACGCAGCGGTCGAGTGTTGTGAAAAGCCGGCGCGGTGAGGCGCCATTTCGCATGCAATGCCAACCAACCAATGGTAAATGGTAGCAGTAACGGTAATTGTAATTAAAGCGGACATCGGAACGCGCACAACTCGCATGGCGTTCGCTTCGAAAGGAGTTGCGAAAGAAGTTTCACAGTGCAATGAATCACGCAAGCCGGCTCCTCTGCCGGCAAGAGAGAGCCCGACAATGACGCCATTAGGGCTGTGACTGTCTCACTGTCAGTCTCTCTGTCTATCATTTAGCGCCCCGCTTGGTGTCGAGGACGCGTATAACTGTTCACAATCAAAGGCACGCGCGCGTTTGTGTGAGTGTGTTTGATTGTCATAACAGTTATTTGATGAGTGAGAGAGTGCGGGATTGTGTGGTGCGCGCATTTCCAAGGAAACTTTTTCTATAAAAAACTAAACATATAAACGGTAACAATAGCAGCAGCAGAACCTAACTATGAACCGCCTCCTTGTTTCTAAATACATACATACATACATACATACTTGTAAGTATTATGGCTTCTGCAGGTATTCGCCATTTGCATAAGCAAAGCAACAAAGGAGAAGGAGGAATGAAGTGCTGACAAACGCACGTCAACCTGTCCCTCGTTCTTTTCGCTATATACATGTATTTAAATATACCACACTCTTCTCATATAATAGATTAATTTCAATTGTAAAAATATCTATACGTGCAAAGGTGATTCAGGGGAGAGAAAAGTGCAGCACTGATGTTACGTCTACTCGTAGGGACAGACAGTTAAAAAGTTTGGTCACATTGAGTTCTCTTGGAATATAAAAGTTGTGAAACTTTATTTTTGCCTAAGAACCATTTTTGGTATTGATTTCAATGAAGGTACCATTTAACAGTTTAATATCAAAAATACAAAAAAATTGAATAAAATATCTTAACGTGGCTAATTTGTCTAACCTCAACCAGAAAGAAGTGCATTTAATTTTTTGTTTTCCCAATTCGTTTGTTTTATTGGAAGTGAGACGCAAATCTCATTTCCTCATTTCATTTACAATATTTTCGCCATATGCTCATTAACTATTATCTAAAAATATATAATTTATAATGAAAATTAGTGATAAACGTGTAACTTACAATTTTTATTTATCTTTTGCCATCATGATTTCAATATTACAAAAAGTGTTTAGTTTCGTTAAATGTTTTCAAAAGTTTTTGGAGGTTCTCCTTAAGTTTTTAAAATGTATTTTTTTAAATCTCACAGTTTCCTTTGTTGTTTCTAATTCAATTTTAAGTCTAAGGTCGAAACATTATTAGTTCGAAGCATTATTACAGCCATTGAACCTACTACTTGTATGTATTTTGTATGCCCCGATAATGGTTTCAAAAATGGGAATTTTTTCAGTACCAAATCAAAAAGATACCCGACAGGGATATAAATTAATTACCTTTTTGTATCACTTAAGAACTAAATTTTACGTATATTATAATTTTATATTTATTTATAAAAGTAGGTATTAAAGTATATACTATAAAAGTAAATTATAATATTACGTATATTTTCCACTTGTTTTATTTAACATTACTTACATTTTTTAATCTATATTCTGATAATAATATAATAACTAACTAATAACTAATATAATAATATTATTATACATATTGGATGAGACTTTATTATTTTTGTTGAAATATTTAAATGACCGAGAACTTAAGTGGCAAAACAGAGCATCAGAATTGATTTGCGTCGTTCTCTATTAAAACGCTGCAAATTTTCTGCAAACAAAAATTATCCTTTGGTCGAGGCCCTTTAAACGGACGTCAGCTGGAGCCTTTGACAAACGGCTAGAGCAAGTTGGCGCCACTGGCCTTGGCGTGGAGACATTTAAAGTTGGCGACGTTGTTTTGCCGCCAACTCTTTAATTAGCCCGCGCCACTGGATTGGTCATGTGTACGAAACGTTGTGTATTGGGTTCTGTTTTGGTGCTGGCTTTTGCAATAGTTTAATTTTTTTTGCTGTTGTGGTGGTCGTGGTCGTGGTCAACCGTGCATGCAAGTGCACGTGAATGCAGCGTATGTTAACCCTGGCAGTATAGCAAGTTAATGTCAGGGTCAGCATAGCCGCAGTGCCAAAAGGAAAAGGGCGGCGATTTGGGCTTGCATGCAAAAACCGAAGGCGGCTAACAATGAGTGGTTTGTTTAAATTGTTCACATATCCATATTATATAAATCAAAACAAGAGCCGCAATATAATAAAAGCCCTATACGATGTCCTACATACTATAAGTATGTATGTATGTATATGGCATGAATGCTCCCTTGTTGCTTGCATTGTTTTGTGGCCGTTGTTGTCGTTGCAAATTATTGGTTGGCCCGTGACAAAGGTACAAAATTTATTTAAAAGCAATTGACAGCACTGCTTGTGTGCGCAGCTGCACTCTTCGGGGGACCCGGGACCCATGACTAAGACACACGTGCTGACAATGGCGCCCAAAAAGATTGACCTTGACTTCTAACTGGCTGGCAATTAGAGTTATTTTCATTTGCAATTGGGGACATGTTTATTTTACGACATGCGCTGTCCGGCCAAATGCTTAAAATTTGAGTGGCTTCGAGTCAAGTGTATATCTACACATAAATAAAACATATACACATATATTATGTTTGTCACTTGGTGGTGGTTGGGGAGCAACGAGCAACGTTTGCTTTTTGAATAAGTTGTCTGTGAATGCGCTCAATATTGTTGAACTTTTTCAACACTAGAATTTAGGCGTTGCCAGACCGTGAAATCTACAGTGTGATCTGTGCAGCCTTGGCAAATAGAGATAAATAAATAGAAGCCGGTTCGGCTTAGGTTTTTCTTTTAAACGTTTTATATATTATATACTGAAGCCTTGAATTAAATTACTTTTGTGCTTCATGGCCACCTTCAAGCCAAAGTTCATTAAGCCCGAAACTGACGATGCAATCACAGACACCAGTGGCAGCACAGAGCAGAGCTCGGCGTTTGTGTTCAACGCCAACCAAAACCTGGGAATAGAGGAACAGCGGGAGCGCCTTCCGATTCGGAAGTATCGCGACCAAATCCTCTACTGCCTGGAAAACTACCAAGTGGTCATACTTGTGGGCGAAACAGGAAGTGGTAAGAGCACACAGGTGCCACAGTATTTGTACGAATTTGGCTGGCACACTAAAGGATTGATTGGAATAACTGAACCGCGACGTGTTGCAACTGTGACGTTGGCGAATAGAGTAGCGCAGGAGCGGGGGGAGCTAGTGGGCGATTCCGTCGGCTATGTGGTCCGCTTCTTAGAGCGCATGTCGTCGGAAACAAAGATCAAATACATGACAGAGGGCATTTTGTTGCGGGAGCTACTTGCGGATCCGCTGCTTACACAGTACGGAGTGATTATTGTGGATGAGGCACACGAGCGCAATATGCTAACAGATATGGTATTGGGCTTGTTAAAGAAAATATTACGGAAACGTAGCAATTTGAAACTCATCATTTCCTCGGCCACCATCGACGCTAGTTTCTTTAGCGAGTTCTTCAGCTGGCCGGGCTCAACTCGCGATGTCAGCGTTAAGCTGAGTATTGAAGGACGTATGCACGCTGTTACTAAGTACTACTTAAATGAGCCTTGTGCAGACTATGTACGTGAAACGGTAGAAACGGTATGGAAGTTGCACCAAAAAGAGCCTTTTGGAGACATATTGGCCTTTCTTACCGGCCAGGAGGAAGTGCTAGAGGCATTGGATTTGCTGAGAGAATACATTGCCAGTTCCGAACTGGATAATCTCAAGGTGGTGCCCATGTATGGCAGCATGACAAGCACAGATCAGCTCGCGGTGTTCTTCACCCCTCCAAAAGGCGTGCGGAAAGTGGTTCTGGCCACAAATATAGCAGAGACATCGATTACCATACCAGGCATTGTCTATGTCATAGATTGTGGTTACGTCAAGGTCAAATGTTATAATCCCGCCACCTGCAGCGATAGTCTTGTAATTGTGCCCGTAAGTAAAGCATCTGCCATACAACGCGCTGGTCGCGCAGGACGCGTGCGCCCAGGAAAAGTATATCGTTTATATACAAAGTCGGACTTCGACTCTCTGGCACCGCGACAGCCGCCGGAAATGCGTCGGAGTGAAATGAGCGGCGCCGTCTTGCAGCTGAAAGCTTTGGGCATTGGTAATATATTGCGATTTGATTTTCCCTCACCACCACCCGCAAAGAACCTATTGTCGGCGCTGGAGACACTATATGCCTTGGACGCAATCGACGAGCAGGGCAATCTGACGAAACCCGTGGGTTTCTTGCTTGCCGAGCTGCCGTTCGCGGCCATGCTGTCGAAGATGCTCTACATATCCGGTCAGATGGGCTGCTCTGAGGAGATTATCACCATTATTGCCATGTTGCAGGTGCAATCTGTCTATTCCAGACCTCCGTCAGCGCAGGCCCAGCAAAGTGGTCGCATCGCACATCGACATTTCGAGGTCGCCGAAGGTGATCTGATAACACTGCTTAACGTTTACACTGCCTTCGTAGAGGAGGGCATGACCAAGGAGTTCTGTGGCCAGTACTATCTTATCTATCGCAATTTGAAGCGGGCTTGTGAGCTGCGCGAGCAGCTGTTGGCATTGGCGCGCAAAAAATACGCAATTCCAATATTTTCATGCAAAGGGGATGTGGAAATGGTTTGCAAATGCATTACGGCGGGCTTCTTCACACAAGTGGCCTATTTGCATCATTCCGGAGTTTATAGACAAATTAGTAGCGGCACGGAGCTGGCAATACATCCAAATTCGACGCTATATACGCTACCACAAGCGCAATACGTAGTCTATTGCGAGCTGCTGCAAACCACCAAATTATTTATGGATCAACTGACGGTAATCAAAAAGGAGTGGCTAACAGAAGTTGCTCCTCATTACTATCATCAGACAACTATGCGACATTAGCGCTTGGCTCCTAATTCAAATGGTAATAACTCGATTTTTATTAGTAATGGCTTTAACATACAACAACTTAATCTAATTTTTATTGGTGCAGGTTCTTTAGCTGTGATACAAACATTGCTGTTAACCGGCAGCAACGCGACCACGTCCCTGGAACATCATCATGGATTCGGGACCACGGATAACGCGTGACATTAGTTCCCAGCACATTTTCGCGGGCAACAAGCTGCAAAAGAAATGTGTTTATAGCAATTAATTTCATGTTAATTTGAGCTTTTTCATAAACAATGTGGAACACAAGAAATCTCAAAATCTAGAAATCTGTTTAAGAATTAATTAACTTACCATTTCAGCGGCGTCAACATGCGAATGGAATTGGGCAGAACACACCACACCTCATTCTTTCGCACAGCGCTCTCGATGCGATCAGCCACATATTGCGGCTCCAGCATGGGCATCATGCGAGGTTGGACGCCTGAAAACATACCCGTGTTGATGTAATACGGACAAATCAAACTCATTTGTATCTGGTCATATCCATGGGCCTTTAGGTCGGTCAATAGACTCTCATGAAAGCCTATGCAAGCGTATTTCGTGGCAGCGTAATCACTGCAGCCATAGGTGCCCAGCATGCCTGTCACTGATCCCACTGTCACAATGTGGCCACGATTGTTACGCATCATGTGCGGCAGAAAAGCCTTCACGGTCCAATAGTGGGAGATTATGTTGATGTTATATGTGTTCTTTATCACACGATCGTGTAGTTCCCAGAAGGGCTTGCAGCAAACAATTCCCGCATTGTTGATAAGTATATCGACAGGTCCGACTTCAGCATTGACCTGTGCGGCGCGTTGATAAATCTGTTCGCTATCCGATATATCCACAACATAGCCCTTACAATTATGAAAACCGTGCTTTGCCAGTAAATCGACTGTGGTCTTTATAGCTGCGAAAAAGTAGTGAAAACATTATAAATGTTTATATAAGTAATTGTAACAGCTTTCACTAATATAATATAATGCTATGGTGCGGGTCCTTAACCCTAGCCACGATATCTATGTCTATGAAAGCTGTTAATTTTCTTCTATTTCACTCATGCGTGTTGCTTCAGACCTAGCCCTATTAGCAAGATATTGCTAACAAGTGGCCTAACTTTAAACAAACTCACAACATACCTTCTTGGTTTATATCCCAGATGACAATACGCGCTTGTAACTTGGCAAAGTTGAGGGCTATTAACCGACCTACTCCACCGCCACCTCCAGTTATGAGCACCACTTGGCCAGCTACGTTCTGCGAATTAAAATATATGTTTGTAACGAAATCGAAACTTATTTCCACAGCTCATTAACACTAAAGCATACAATACATATTTCGAAAATGCATACCATTTGCATAAATATGTGATAAAATAATGTTATAAGATTTCGACTTGGACTGTGCCGGCATATTTATAAGCGTACATTGCTAGCCAACTGAATAGAAACATCACTTTCAATTATAAAGAAACATTGATGTAAATATAATTTCAACTACACACTACTATGTACAATTCAGATGTACTTTTTAAAATAACTATTTTCTACCTTTCCTTAATCAAGCACCTAGACAAATTCTATACATTTTTCCGATTAAAGGCTATAAGTATGTATCTAAGTGGTAGATCAAAAATCAAATAGATTTCATGTCGAAAACTAGTTTTCATCTGGCCTGGGCACATGCCAATGCTTAAGTAATAAAACATATATTTATGTTTCGCCTTCTTTGTTGACGAATCATTTCTTTTGCATATTTGATTGACAAAGGTGCGTCGCCTAGACGATTATTCAATGTACAGCAAACATTTTGCATATATAATTAGTGTTGTTGTTATTGTCGTTTTCGCTTTGATGAATGCCATGCCGTGCCAAGTTTAATGTAAATTTGTTGTGGAAATTGCAACATGCATATGTTAAAAAGTAGTTTCAAGTAAATTTTGCAAGCATCTTCAAACGTTTTCGGGCTCAAGCGCTTACCATTTTGATAATTTGTTTCGTTATTTTTTTTTTTGATCATTTTTTTCTGGTTGTTGTTGCCATTTTATTGGCCAAAAGTTCAATCAAGTTCATGTGCGCTGCTTACAAAATAATGCAGCATTTTAGTTGTGCAAGTTATTTCAAATTTTCCAAATAACGAAATCTTGGGATATATTTCATACAATATGTTTAAAAAAATGATAGAAATACCTTTAGAAACAGGTGGAAACTTCTCACAGATCATACACATTTCTGACTCTGTGTCGAAGAGGAAAATATATATGGCGAATAAAATACAGTGGGGCTAAAACGACACAGGGGCAACGATAATTGATGAACTGTACAAATACTATATATGAGCTTCGTAATCACCATAGCCTTTAAGTACTGCAATATTTTGAATCAAGAGAAGAGAATAGGTGATAAAGAAGTATAGACTTGGTTCCTTCGACTTTCAATCCTTCAATATTCGTTAATTCAATATTAAAAATAGTTTGGTTTCGAGATACATATTCGTAAATATTTCAAAAAACGAACAATTGTATTTGTCTTGCTTTTAGGGCAATACTCCTACCCCAGTGTTGAAAGCAAAATCTTCGCCTAACTCGTATAATTATGTATTTGTATATGCCAACGGAAATGCGATCTGGTTGCAATTTAAATGCAGTTTTTTAAAATGTTTCTTGGTATTACATCTGCAATATGCAGTTGTGTTGGTATAATCAACAGTTACAACAGCAACAACAAAAAAATAGCAGCAACAACCAGCACAAGGCAGCAAAAAATTCAACAATGACAAACGCTTCGCGAGCGCAGGCGGCGCGCATGCGGAAAACTCGTTGCGATGAAAAATGTTTATTGTGCATTGGGCCGCAAAGGCAAATGAAAACTAAGCATAGGTTTGCTGAAAGCAGGAGGTTATTCACTTCTTGGGGCAATCCCAAGAAAATTGAAGTTTTGTAGACTGTCAAAAAAGTTGCTTAAGTAAACGCCATTAAGGCCGACTCGCATATTTGGCCAAAAAAAAAACTCCAAACAATTTCAGAGCCACTATTTCGTTGGCGCCTAATTGAAGACCAATATAAAATATACAAAAAAGCTTAAGTTATTTATTTAGCGCGCGAATGTAAATTTATTTGCTGTTTTAATTTTATGTTGACGAGAAAAAAATTGAACAAACATAAGAGGCAGGCATTCATTCCATATTGACCATTAAAATGGTTTCTTTAAATGCGTGTGAATTTGTTCGCTTTTGGCCACGCCAATGAGAGTCGACGATGCATGTCCAAACAATGCTATATATTTGTTCAGATATGTTTTTATTTGTTAACGCTTACAATTAAGCCTTTTACAACAGTTGCTGCCAGGCAGGCCGATAGACCGACAGATGCTGTAAAACACAGATAAACAAATAAATTGGAAAGTTCATAGTAGTTTTTTTGCAATTTGCGTTGCTACTGATTTGTTTTTATTAGACAACTATAAAAAACGTCAGCTCGTTGAAGTTGGTGAAATTATTGCTAAAAGCAACTTAGGTACGTGTACTCGAATATAATTGATGAAGGAAATACGGAGCCGGGATGAAAAGTAATTGACCGAGTAGTGAAAACACAAGCATTAGTATCCATTATGTTTCCATTGTTCATCAATTTCAATTCATCAATAAAACATGATTTCCGTGCCAATATCAGTAAGCTCGGACCATAATGATCTTTTTTTTTTTTTTTTTTTTTTTTTATATGATAATACTTTAATTTTCCTGTTATTATTTACAACAACTTAAATTAAACTTATAGAAATATACAAATACAACTTAAACTAGGAGTTCAGTCTTATTCCATAATGATCAGATTTAAAAAAAAAAAATATAATAATTTTTATTTAACTCTGAATCCAAAGAAAAACGCTCTAAAAATATTTCGAGACCGAAGGGTGTCTTGCTACGTTTGTCAGCTAACATGTGATGGGGAGATAGGACTAGTTCGATGTAGAAATGACAGAACTGGCTAATAGAATAATTTTTTTATTATAACACAAAAAGATCGGTATCTACACAAAAGCTCATAAAGGATTATGATTATTATTATTTTCTGAGTCTAATTTAGTGGCGTGAAAAAAATGAGATATTTGATGATCTTTGGTTAAAATATCTTGTGATAAATAACTTTGATGTTGCAAAATGTAGTTTACTTTTCAATACACCCTCGTAAGGGGTGGAAAAGTTTGTGTTCAGGAATTCAAAAGTTATGATTAGTGGTCGTCAATTATTTTCAACTCATCAAATAGACATGTGTGTGTGAGAGAGTGGGTGTAAGTGTTTTTATGGTGCTTGTGTAATGGAAAGATGTCAAGGCATAAATAAAACCAAAAACAGCAAAGCAACAAATTAAACAAAAATCGTGCCAGTTCAAATTATGTCAAAATTGCTGAAGCCAAAAAGTCAAGCACAAAAGTTCAGTCTGACTTTAAGTTTCTATTAAAAACAAGGAAAAGCATAATTTGTTCATAATACCAACATTAGCATATAGCATATTATATGAACATTTTCGTAAGTTGGGGTTTTGTTGTTTTCTCCTCGTTGTGTTTTCTTTTCCATTTTCATGCACGTACCTTTAACTTTCTAAAACGCTGCGGTAATATTGTTAAGTATAGCGATTCCAAAATGTAAAACACAGACTTTAGCGTGAAGATTAGCAAGTCCAACAAAAATTGGACCACAGCACGTAAAGGCTGATCCATGTGGAGAAGGCCTGGTGCGGCGGTCATGGTTATGGATTTGGCGAACTGCGACTATGTTTATGATCGATTGCTTTGCACAAAATTTGAGTTTGAGGTTTGATTTTTTGTATCGGCAAAGACCTTCGGGCACTCAACAGGCAATTAAACTTATGAATGTACAGATGGAACACGTGCGCGGGAGGAATGAAATTACGTAGTCGAAACGTGTGCGTAATGGAATTGCAAATTAAGGCACAGCCACAATAGAGTCAACACAATGTAATTTTATAGCTTTTATTTTGCTTAGTAGGCTGCCGCGGCTGGCATATTAATGATTATGGCCAGCTTTATTAGCGTCACACAACAAATGAATTTCTCTACGAGCGGCCTTTTTTTGCGCAGGCGTGCACGTCTTATAAAAACGGTAATGCGTTGATTTCGATGCCCCTCGACGACTGCGACGTCCGATTATCTTGAGGCCACAATAAAGACTGAGCGCACACATTCGTTGGAAATTTCTTGTGGACCGACCCAACAGCCAGCGCTTTTTCTATTTTACTGTTTATTCGGGCGCTGCTGGTGGCTGCTTGGTCCAACATCAAGATTCACACAAATCGTGACGGTTCGTGCAGAAATAGAAGTGGTAACAACAGCAACAATCACTTTCTTAGCGTGACTGTTTGGCAACTGATTCGCTTGGTCGCCGCCTGACTAGACCAGGTCGTTAGTTATTTTAGTGAGTTAGCTCAACCTGTTTATTATTACCTCGTTTTGTACCTTTATATTGATAAAAGGCTATGCCGAGTATTGGATTTCTCTATCTTTCCATACTAATTTGCATTTTTATTGCCCTGTTTTGTATTGTTTGAATCGTTGACCATTGTTAGCATGTTGATACGAATTTCTTTTCAGCCCGAACCACGATGAGGAAAAAAGGTTTGAAAAGCGTTGCATACTCTTAGGCTTGCATTAAAAGTCAGCTGGTTGGCTCTATAGAAATAACTTACATATGGCACAAGCAAATATACGTAAATATTTTAAAATACGTGCACGCAACAATATATTTAGTTATTAATTAATTTATTATTTTTTCCAATTAAAAAAACGTATGTTTTGTGATTTCCTTGAAGTAAATTGAACAAAATATCCAGCCTCTTCGGCAGCGGCTGCTTTAACATATAGACATGCACACATGCAAACATGTATCTATATATGTGAGTATACTCACACACACAAGCGAACGAATAGCTATTTTTGTGTCTACACGACGGCATGCGAGTTTGATTCACTTTGCTGCATCATTATTTATTTTTCGTTTTTATTTTTTAATAATTTTTTTTTAATATTTATTATTGTTAGAAATTTTTGGTTTAATCAAATTTATAAAATATATTTGCAAAAGCGATATATAAACAATTACATTTTAGTTAAAAACCCACCCTGTTGAGTGATGGAAGCGCTAAACATTGTGCACACATTCGGCCGATGAGAAGATAATTTTTCTCACGCTTGCTGGAAACCAGTTTTGTAGGTTGTGAGCATGTTTTCATCCTATTTATAGGTACTTATATTGGTGAATACTGTAAAATGCTTTCCACTATTTCTACTATAATATTAATTTTCTAGGTAGAATGTGTGACTTAATAAAGACTTATCATAAATTTTCCTAATGCCAGTTGCCAGTTTTCTATACGACGATAATATGAGTTTTATATTAGTTTAGTATATGATTTTTTGGTTTCGAAATATTCCAAAGCAACTAATAAATAAATTTACAACTTCTTACATGTGTGTAATATGTATTAATATATAATTTTTAAAATTAGACTACTCTTAATACCTTATAATATTTGCAATGATATATTGTCATTTAAAATATTTGTTAAGAACACAAATGCCTTCCTTCTATGCATTTTTATTTTGAACGCGCTCTCGCGTGAGTCTGCCGATAGGTGCGCCACTCAGTCTACCACCACTATTTAGCGCATGCCGGTTCTGCCTAAAATTCCCAACTACGAGTTCGGCGTTTGCTCGTATAAATACAACATCGCTCGAACGGTACTTTGGAAGTGTGTGTCTTCTGTGATGGCACGTAGCTGAACATTGATCGATTTAACGATATCGCTAACGGTATCTGTTTATTCAGATCTGCTCAGTGACAATTCCGTCACAATTTGTTTCCCAGTAATTCTGCCTGGTTGACATTGCTGCGGCAAACAGGTTCGGTCGGCTTTCCGCTGCCATTGTTCGACGACGGGTCGGGCAATAGACGCACGGTTATGCAACTTAGCACTTCGCCCACTCCGCCTCGCGAATTTCGATCCGTTAATCTGCACGCCCCCTCAAGGGGCGTGTGGTGGGTTGAAATGCGTATAGGTGTTTGGGGCCGGGCGTGGTGCTAATGCTGAAGCTGACGACAGTTGCCCAAGTCAGCCATTTTCAAAATTTCTTGGTTAAGTAACTTTGTAGCTTAGCTTCGGATTTTCGTAATAAATTTGCTGTTCAGAACACTTCCATTGACGTGGCATTGCCGAGCAATTTGCCCATTTTTTGCAAAAACTGAATTGCAGGGGTAGTATAAATTTTTATTTTTGAAAAACAATGCAATTGATTATCAGTTACTTAAGGAAACTGTTGCAAATCGTGTGGCGCTGCTACGCAGAGCTACAGAGGTATTTGACAATGGGCATGCCGGCGATATATATAGCCAAAACAGATAAACAATGTTCGAGGCATACCGATAGAATCTATACCAGATATACTTGCGGTTCATTAGCAGGCCGGTGCGGCTTTGCTTTGGCGACTTGAGGTTGGTGGAGGTGCTGCTGTTGGACCTTGAAATGTTGTGTTGGCGTAGTCGCAAAATTTCAGACCCCAATCGTATCTTAGAATCACGTAGCTCCTCCATCTCCTGGCCTTTACTGTAACAAAAGAAAATTATATGTGTAATGAAAATGTAGTTTTCAGGTTTGAGCAGAATGTGGACACGCACACATCCCATTCCCGCAATTTCGTTTCTAGACCCTCGATAATGCGTCGCATGCTTTGCAACATGTCCTCTTTCTGCTCTAGCTCCAAACGATATTTGTTTTCCGCATCTTTGTAATCGCTATCTATACTTCGTATCTTTTTCACCTCTTCAAGAAGTTGTTCATTTTCCCACCTAAGTTGTTTTGAAACGCGTTCTTCCTTAGACAGTTCCGTTTGCAGGGTACGCTGATCCATGATTGCTTTGAAGAGGTCTCCTTTTGTTTGGCCCGCAATCTTCTCAAGAGCGTCATACTGCAATTATATAAAACATTCGTGAGTGCACACAATATTTTTTTTTTTTTTAGTAGCAGAGTGTATTTTATTTAAAACTGTCCATCGTGGACAATCATTAAATTGGTTAAATAAACTTGACAATTTATTATTTCATATGAGGTTGTAATATCCCGCTAGACCATGGGGAGGTCCAATCAATAACAAATAATACTGCCATTTTATACAACAGAGAAAAAAATTTATAGCATGAAAAAAAACAGAATTTAATATTAAAGGAATTTAGTATTGTACTAAGTTTAAAAGGAGTATTTTAGTCGCCAAATTAAGCCGCTGTGCCTCGACTCACAGCGAGCGATTATTATTGCATTAGGGCATGTGTACTATATTTAATACTGGTTAGTTAATTGTAAGGAGATTTTCCTGCTTAAATTACAAGGGGATTGATTAGACGAGAGCTCATTATAATTAGAACACAGAACATTAAAAGGAGAGTGAAGGAACTACAAAGCTTATACGATGGATAAGGTTGCCGAAGTGATTTCTCTCGCCAGTAGCTTGTAAATAAAAACTACACCATGACATGTTCTAAGATCAATAAAACGTAATTGGTCACGATAAGGTGGAAAACCATTGGGATCCCATTGAAGGGGGACTCAATCATATCCTAGTATTTATTATACTGGGCAGTATTCCATAATGGAACGAACGAGATATGAATAAGGAATATTAGTTGTGTACGGATCGCCAAATTCCTTTGACCATCGTTTTACGAAACCCAGAATACCTCTAGCTTTACTAACCATTATAAAGATATTTCAATGATTTTTCATGGATTATAAATCTTAACATTTGGTCTTTTTTTTTGTAAAACTGTAATTTGACGAATTTAATAAACGACATCACAGACTGTCTCAATTATTGGAAAGTATGCAAATAGAATATTTTTCCCAATATTTTTCCCTTCTTAAAATGTAACAATTTGACTACCAGATTAGTTACGAATCTTTTTCATGAAAGTCGCCGAATTAGGTCTTACCTCGTTTTTGCGATAGCTTATCTCCTGCTCGAGCAGCGCCTTGTCGGCCGTCAGGTTGAGCACGGAGGTCGTTAAACTGTCGCAAGAGGAGCGCACCTTGGTTACATTTAGTGTTGACTGCTTCAGTTGTAATTGCAGCTCGCTGTTGCGTTTCTGTTCGACGCGCATGAGGGTGGTGTAGACATGCAACTGGTTCTTGGCCTTCATGGACTGCGTGGGGCGGTCTTTTGTGATGAGTGGCTTCTGTCAAATATCACATTTTCCGACTTACGCTTTTCTGCAGACGATCCACTGCTTGCTGCAGCTGGCGGACCTCCTCACGGCGCTGCCGCCATGCATGCAACATGACCGTGGTGAACACCTTCATGCTAGCCGCATTCTCTCGCTTAGAGCGCCAGGGAGTTACCTGTGGCTCTAGTAGACAATTGGCGGTTAGCATTGCGGTTGTCATCTCTGCTGGTACAATTTTGTGCTCCGAAGGGAGAGGTGCAAGGACATGCATTTGCAGTTCATGCTGCTGCTTGAGATTTGTATGCTTTGTGGCCTCATCTGCAGGTGTTGCTGCATCCCGAAATGGTTTTAGAGGTGGTTCAGGCCTTGTACGGCCACTTGGCATGCTATTTGCGGAAGTCGGCGCTTTGGAAAACACAGAATGTCGCATCTCCTTGAAGGTGTTAAATGATGATATCGAAGCCGTCCCTCGCTCCATGTTCAAAAAATATCTGAAGTTCTAATTAACGTACGAAATTTGAAACGCGTGCTCTTCCGGTCATTACCAAGCGAGTTGTTTGATATAAAATATATATATTTATGTTTTTAATTGTATATATAAAACTGCAATTTTCAGATGACTATTGGCCAAACAGATAGCGCCCGATCTTCGAAATGTGGCTTGTTAAGATGTTGTATGTGTTTAAAACCGAAAAAAATAATCTGAATTTCTACACAAAATTTAATGTACTACAGAGTGTCGCATCTGTCGTCATTTAAGAACAATCATATTGATCTCGTAAGCAAGGAGCACTCGATTTAACGACGTTATGATAAAGAGGGTAATTAAATCGTCTGTTTTGGCCCACATACTTATGCCATGGTATAATCTCAAGGCACTGTGCACGCTATTACACAAGAAATACCAGGAATCGGCCAAGGTCGACGCGGCTCAAGTAACAAATTGCATGCGTACCAATAATGGGCAATACTGACAACTGAACGCCGCACAGTGGGACAGAATCCCATGACAAAATAAACTACAAAAACCTGAAACCTCTGCTAGTGCAAACTGAAACAAAAGCCTTAATAGAGATGGCTCCTAACCAGCAAAATCACTTACTCAAGAACAATGGCATCCTATGGGGGTCCTACATTGCTCCTTCCTGCCAAAATGGCTTGCAACGTCTGTACGGAATTGTTGTGAAATACCACCTAGGAAAAATCCGAATCCTGCAAGTCAAAACAGTTTGCTTGATAACTGGTACAACGAGCAGGTTGTACAGTACATGTACATGGGGCGACTAGGATCGATTATAGAGCGAGGCTAAGGAGATCACTTACGATCGACCTTTCCGAAAGTTATATATGTATATATAATGCTAAATACTAACATAAGACTGAACAGCAAGCTTATGGTTTAATTGTTCTCTTCGGTTAGTTTTTATTGAAGTTGTGATAAATAATAACAGTATAATTGAAGGAAATAAATAAAAGAAAAACATTAATTTGATTTTATTTATTTTCTATAAATATCGCCCAGGGCCAAGTATTATCGTAATAAGTCAATTTTCAATCGTGTAATTGCTAAAAATATAAAAAAAATATATAAGCTATGAATATTTTCTTAAGAGTCCCTCCATTTATTTTAAATATTTTTAGTAAATTGAACAAATGTGTTTATGTTTTAAGCAATATGAGCTCAGAAATGATTTCAAAACATATGTATAAAGAAAAATATTGGAAGATGTGTATGTCTTTGTTAATGGTGCTAACATCTACCTTTGATATGTAAGCTAAAATACATAAATTCCTTGGCTCGCAGAGAATCGCAATCAAACTACCGGTAAAGTATACAAACAAAGTTTTGGCTTTTGCACAAAAGTTTTTGCCTATCGAGCCCATTGTAAACTAAAAGAGGGAAAGGTGCAACAACAAAAAACACAATGGAGGGTAGCTATGTATATATGTAAGTACATAGTTGTAAAGGGGCGTTAAAAGAATCAGTGAGTTGAGGTTGCCATGAAGTCGCGTGATTTGACCGACACACGTTTCGCTATTGGTCGCACACTTTTGTTCTTTCACAGGGTTTGGGTCCGATTACTGCTTCTAAATTGTTTGGTCGATGTCGGCCTGTCAGTTCCAAGCCCATTGTGGAGGCACTTGCTTAATACTCGTGTATAGTTGTTGGTCCTGGGGCGTCTAATTCGTGCTATCGAAACATTTTGAATAGTTATTTGGTTTTCAGGAGTTGGACAAATATGGAGAAAGGGAGAAGGTCATATTTGTTGTGAAATTTCAATGCGGCATACACCACTGACATAATTTCTATTTATTTGGTGCTTAGCTCAGCTTTCTGTAGCGATTTGTTGTGTTTGTGGGGAAATTTGGGCATATTTCGCTTGTTGCATGCCATAGCACGTTGACATTTGTAAGTTAGTCTTTATGGTTCTTTTGCGATATGATTGATAGCGGACTTTGCGGCTTTCAATACTATGTTCGCCTCACATTTTTATGTTTCTGTTGTTTGTATGGGCCCTTATCCCCAAATCCGAATTCTCAGAAATGTCAGCGGACGGAATTTATTCTTAAAAACACTGTTACAGTTTCGATTGTCGCTATGTTTTGAAAAAAAAAAAACCCTTACAATATGGTAAACGCTTTCATTTGTTTAAATTAAAAAGTTTGATGGGAATTTTCAACCATTGCTTATATTATGCTTAGCTACACTCAGCACACATCCTAAAGGTCCCAGTGCGACTTGAGCCCCTTTGCAACAATTCACTGAATGAATCAGCAACAGCAGCCGGTGGTTTCACTTTCAATTCCTTGGAATTCCGCATCCTGAATGTCAAAGTTCGAGATAAAAGTGAAAACCATTTTCATATAGTTACACATGTACGGGTACGTGTCCGTGCTTGGATGAGTCACGGTCATGCCATGGTGTCTACTGCCAACATGAAAATTAATGCCACAACAAATACCGACGCTTGATGATATCCTTTTCCAGGAATTGCTGGCTGAATCAGTCGCCAATACACAGCCCATTTGGTGGGGGCAGTCTTACAGTTTATTATGTATTTGTAAGTGGTCTGTGGGCGGTAGGCGCAAAATTTTCATTTTCATTCATAAAAGCCTCGCCATAGCGGCAAAAGCTTTCGCTGAGCGGCAACATGAGTCATTGGCAACAAGCACACTGCGAGAAAACTTTTCCACAAGACGTTGCGTAAAAGTTGTTTGCAAAGCAAGCTCCAACTGAGCCCGATAAAGCCAGTTTACAGTGGTTTGCCAACATTCAAATAACAAAAACAAATTGAAAATTTAAAAAGGTATGTTTAAATTGAATAAATTAAAATGTGCAATTATTATGAAATGACCAGTTGCGTGAAAGATACAACGAATGAGGAAAATGAGGAATGAAGTAGGAAAATAATTCTAAATATTTCCAATCTCTTATCCGGTGATCTAAGATTTTGTAAATGTGAATTTTGTGACAGATAATTAATAAATTTGATAAGGACATCAGCGTACTTTTAAAAGTGAGTATAACATTTCTTTTGGGCAATGTTTATAAAATTTGTAGCGATCTATCAATGTTTGCTTTATTAGATATACTATAGCTTGTTCGTAATCTATAACAGCAAAAGGCTTTTTCTAAATTTTTTGTTTGAAAGGTTTTGAGCTGGAAGAGCGAGTCCGGAGCTGCAGTTTTGCGCGTAGCACTGGAATACAATTGTTTCTCTGAAAGCTTCTCTAAGAATTAATTCATTTAAGGGAATTTAGTACAAAGTTTAATTTCTGTAATTATGGAAAACTAAATCATTTTTAGCAACGAAATCAATTGCAGGAATCCTCCTCATGTCTTGGCCTTGGCGTTTAAAAGCTGATGTTAATGTCTCAGTCCAGATCACTGTGCAGTTGTTTCTTTTGTCTGCGCCGACGTGACTCAGCTCAGGCTGTTGTGACGTATGCATATACGAGTATATGTGCATACATATGTATTTGTATGTATTTACTGGCTATACTTGTCTGGTGTGCGGTGTGGCGTGCTCTTCGTTGGGGCCTTTTGAGAGCGTGTGGAGCTGCACTTGCTGTCTTGTTATTTTCGTTTCGAACTTAACTTTGATCTTTGCTTTTTGTTTCTGTTTTCGCTATTTTGTTGTTGTTGTAGCTGTAGTTGTGGTTCCAACTCCCTTGCCAGAGCATAAAGCTCTCTGACACTGGTTAATGGCGTCAGGCCAGTTCGTTTAGTCTTCAATTCGCTGGCGTCGTGATCGGTTTATCAGGCGCGTCTCTTTCTGTAGGTATTACATTACCGTTTGTGCGCGATCGCGATTGCGCATTAAGCTTTCTCACCTATTTTCGCTCTCTTGGTAGGTTCGGCGCGAGCGCACTTAAGGCACATAGGCGAGTTTAAAAACTTGTGCATGCCAAGTGTAGCAAAAAATGTGAATAAAAGTAAAATGATGTGAAGAAATGAAATAACACCAAAAAAAAAGGTGCATAAAAGTGTATGTGATTGGTGTTGTTGTTATTGCTATTGCTGTTGCCGTTGCGACAACGCAACAACGAAAAAAGTTTCACTGCCCCTAGTCTGTTTTATTTCTTAACAGTGGTCGCGCAACAAAAACAAATACAACGTCGCATAAAAACAAAACTTTATAACACTTCACGAATTGATAATATGTATTAAAATCGAAACTCTTACTGTGTGATAAGATTACGGCATGTCGCAATTGGCAAAGCTTTTGCTTATTGGAGTATGCGTGTGCGCGTGCCTTGGGCAACCAAAAAGATCACCCGTTTTTAAAGTGCAATAGAAAAGTGGAAGCTAAACGAAATTGAAAAGCAACAGAATACATATGTATGTACATATGTATGTATACTCGTACATATAGTAGTAGTGTGAACGTGCCCGCAACTGTCTTGTCGGCCAAATAACAAAATAACAAAATAGCCGCCCTGTGATGATCGCATAAGAGCATAAAGCCCGGAATTCCCCATACAAACTATAGAAGACGTCATGAGAAAAGCTTCATTCGCATGCTCCGTGCTGCTCGCGCTCTCGCTTTCGATTGGACGAGCTTGGCGGGCGGCTCAGGCACGGCGCGCGTACAGCGAAAAATTCGATTTCTTACCATTTCATTAGTTTCATATGTATATCTATCTTTATATACATACGAGTACATACATACATACATTTTTACCTTTTGCATGTAGATAAAGTATGTGCATATGTATTCTATTTTTCCCTTCTCTATACGCCATTTGTTGTCGTTGTTGTTGCTATTGCAAACTTTGCTATTATCGCACCATGCCTCGTCATTTGTTCTTGCCGTTTTACGCGCAAAAATTCAATAAGAGAACAAATATTTTTATATAAAAAGATAAATAGCGAACCGGTTTCTGTAATACATACATACTATACATACTTACGTATTGCCTGTATGTGTGCAGATTTGTGTATTTGTGTCTTTTCAAATGTGTTTTAAAAACTCAATATTCAAATTAAAAGGAATTTTCATGCCGAGCACACATTTTGTTATACATAAATAAAATATATTGAAGCGCACTCGATTAATTTACATAACGGCACAGTTTTACTTGGAAATGGAAGAGTGTGCTACAGCGTTGTGTCTCAATTGTTTTAAATCTTATAAAAATGTATTTTCCTAGATGAGATATTTACATATTTCAGAGCTTAACAAATAATTTGTAACA